TTCAAGGTTGTTTGGATTGTTGAAAAGTATTTTTGTGAATTTTTTCAGATTTTTTAATTGCTTCAGGCCTTCAGAAAAAATATAGATAGAAAATGGACGTTTATACCAGAAGTGGGGGGTAGGAGGGGGGAGGGGGTCTAAAATTTTGGTTTTGGGTCTTTTTTACCATGTACTATAACATACCAAAAGCGCGTCAAGATCGGTGACATACGAGCGCAGGTTTATTTAAAAAATTCTGAGCCTTACCCATGTATAAATGGCGATGACAAAGGCGCTCGCGATAACGATTTGCAAAGATAAAGCCTGACGCACACACGCGTGGCTCGCGAAATCCACCAAGATATCTAGACGGCGACGAGAGAGAACTTTCAGTTTCGAGCGTAAGTTGCGGCACGCGATTCGAGTCGATACTCGAAGCGCACGAAGGTCAGAGCTGCGTCGAGCTCTGCATATTTTGAAATTATCAACTATGCTACGAGCGTATTTTACTACTTGTTGAACATCGACTATATAATATAAGTATCTCCACAGCTCGATCACTGATCCTTTGTCCGAGTCGCCGTTGGCCAGATTTATGATTTTCTTCAGAACTGCCATAAGTTCGTCGGTAAAAAGTATCCGGTAAAAGTCGCCGGACCAGACTCGATCGCTCGAATTACGTATGCAGATGCTGTAATAGAACCGATATCACAATGCTCCGTTGCAAGTCTCGGGGCCTGGCGCATTCACTCGGCCAGTTTACAACCAAGTCGGTCTTCGATCGTCGACCAGATGCGAGAAAGTATGCCTTATGCCTGCCTTGCGTCGCTCGATCGACGAGGGAGAGGGGCTCCATTGGCAAAACCCGTACTTCCCGATATTATATTATATTGTATGTGTGTTTATCCCACACGTTCGCTGCTTCTACTGCTATATATTTTCCAGAATACCATGTGCTTCCAACTTCTTATATATGTCTTTATTTTTATTATCTAATTCGTCGGAACATATTGGAAAATTCTTGGGCCTTTCTAATATTTCATCGCTTCAATTTCCTACATAAAATTTTTTTTTACCAGATCCAATGGTAACTGCAGATATTTCAATAATTGCATGTATCATTTTTTTTCTAAAACTTACACATTGTTCGCGTCTCTTATCCAAGGTCATTTTGAGCTGCGCAGCTGCGAGTAAAATTTAGTCCAATACTTACAATACGATAATGAGTGGAAAATACACACATGTATACGAATTTCAACGAGAAGTGGGTTAGCCGCGATTCTCGGAAGACGAGAAAGAGCAAAAAATAAAGTAAGCTACAGGGTTTGGGTCAATCGTCCGTCAGCCACCACCGCGGGGGGTGAGTGTAAGCCCTGGCTTCGGAGACAAATGGGACCAGAAAGGTATTAGGAACACATCGAGTCGGCGGCGCGCCAACGGAATGAAATTTATTGCGTATTACTGCGCTCGGTACTACATGTATACATTGTTATGAGGTCATTTTACATCTGCACACAAATGAAACACTGCGCGATTGCTTCTTCTTCTTTTTTCATTTAACAGTTTTTTACCGAAGATTACGACCTGTCGAATAGATTGAAAAATCGTTGAGCACCTTAAATAACTACGAATGACAATCATGAACGGGATAACTGTGTCGATGGAAGTAATTGAATGACGAAACTATGTATCGGCGTTAAAATATTCATCGAGTATTTATTCAAGTACATGTATAGTAACTTAGTCGAAAATATGGGAAAAAAATTTAAAGCTTACAATTTCATTTCCTCGTACTTTGAATATTTTGCTTGAACCCGAATTTTTGAGAGGCTTTACAGATGAATGACCGTAAAACCTCTATTGGAATGTTATTATAGATTTTTACGCATACAGATTTGCCGGTAAAAATGAACCTCGTGGCTTGTTATTTTTTCAACGTCGTTATTTATTTTGTATTTATAACGATGATCGATCGACTACTAGTTAATACAAGAATCAGACAAAGATAAGCTTTGAAAAAACGTGATAATGATAATGAAAGAATGACGATATAAGCAAAAATTGTATTATTATGATTTTTATTTACCATTTTTTATCGGCTCTCCAGTACTATACAACAATCTATCATATCGCGTGTTAATAAGAAGGTAATTCATGATAAATGTGTGCTTGCAATTTCACGCGCGGATCGATGCACTTAGACTTCGTACTGTAGTTACCGATCTCAGATGGCACCAGCGATCGACTTATACCATACTCTTTTTATAACTGTACCTTCATTCGTATTTATGTAAACTGTATTGAAATTATAGATAAACAATTTTATTTTAATTAGTTTTGCGAAATGTTCAATGAATTTTAGGTATCAACCGTAGTTATTAGTATATATCAATTTTTTTGATTTTTTTCATGTAATGTTACTTTAACAAGAATTCAATATTGTTATGTAAAACGTTTCATATTAAAGTCTATTTATAATAATTGGTTCGTGATCAAGTATTAAATTAACATTAAATTGCAAATTTCTATGCTAACGATGTGAGTTGATTTTTTGGAAAAAATGAACACTAGAAAATCTCATTGTTTTAATAAATTAGAAGTTTCAGTCCACTTCATAAAATCATAAAAAACGTTTGAACTCATTATTTTGCGATTCAAGATTGGAAAACGAGTAAATGAAATACAACTCAACGAATCGATTCAACATTTCAAGTACACTTATTTGAATCAATCAATTAATCACTCACTCCGTGACTAATGAGTTTTTGACTCACTTTTAATGCGAATCAAAAAAAATCTGAATATCCACCTGGTTGATGCGATTAATACGCGAGTTGAAAATATTTCTAACGTAATTACGACGTAATTTTTGATAAGCGCGTATAAAATTATATGACCATACGCGAGCGTTAAAAGGCGGATCGATCTGTGTCAAGTTCTACGATGCGTAACTCGTCAAACATAAAGTATGGCACTCGAACGTAAAAAGCACATCGTCATTGCTCGGTCGAATGTATAATGCCGAATCGTACGTACATGCGTATGTATGCAAAGATAGCCCGACGCGTTCCCTAAAAGAGAAAAGTGTCGCGCGCCGTGAGCAGCGCAGGGCGAAGGGGTCGAACCACGGGGCTCTCCGTCACGTGTGTGTGCGTGTATAATACAATACACATTGGGCATAAACAATGGCGCGAGTCGGTGCGAGTGTACATCGCAGCGACGCGACAATTGCTCCAAGTACACATAAGCTGCGTTGTATATGCGTGCTGTATAATATACCCCTGGGCAGTGACGCACACTCGCGCGTTTTACAATTACATTCGTGCGTGCAACTATAGCGAGAGACTTTACTGGTGTAGCATGGCGATCCGTATTAAAGCACACGCGTGCGTGCTCCACACGTGTTTACGTTTCGTACGCGAGCGCCTAACTCTTATTGCATTTTTCACGCGATATATATTGACGCGCAACGGAGGTAAAAAATAGAATGAACGATAATTTTGAGAGACGCGATCATGTCCGGAGGGCAGCTGCAACGAAAGCTGCAAGCTTCGAAACGCCCATTATTTCAATTAAAACAATGAGGCACTCTTACAAATGCAATGGTTTATTTTTAAAATGTAAACTATTATGGAATTAAAAAGCTCTGTCGTGAAATGTCATTTTAAATCATTTATTAATAGACCGTATCATTACTTTTTCAATGGTCATTGTTTTATTTAAATTTTCCAGTTCATCAGAACTTGAAAATATGTATGCCAACGAAAAATTCTCATTAATTGCCCTAGAATCGCGAGCGGACACGTCGTATACGAAAAGTGTTACGATCGCCGTGGGCAAAAATAAGAACAAAGCTGCTCGCACGCGGGGGTGGTTATAGCTCGCGGTAGCTCCAAGAACGTCAACCGTAGCTCGTACACGCGTATAGGATCTATACACTCGAATCTAGCGTCGTGTATAAAACTGAAACGGCGCACGAATGAATATGCATCGGCCATGGATGCAGCTGAGCTGCATCGAGCCTATACAATACGTAGAGGCGCATTCGATTGAGCTTTTTCGCTTTGGCCGTAAAATAAACGTGTAAATGCGTTGTGCAAGTAGATTGGCCGAAGCTATGCCGCACAATAAGTCATTTATATAAGGTAGAACAGGGAGTACGTATAGCCGGGCGATATATAGAATCGCTGACCATAAGCCGGATCGATCGCGTTGCTCTATGTATACGTGCTTTTATGCGATCCATCCGTGCGGGGCTTATATACTCGTCGGTCGTTTCGCTGCTCGCGACCGGCTAATTTTCATTTCGGTCTAGCATCGCATATAAACACGCGTATAGCTACACAGAGAAAAGCTCCGACTCGTCGTTTTAATGCTCGTTTTCGCTATACGCCCCCGCGTATACACGCTTACCTTGGCGCTCAAAAGTCGCGCTTTACGCTCGCGCCGCCACGAAATCGTCGGCTGGATATAAGTCCGAGCTTATTTTGCCAATGATACGTTGCTCTTGAACGCGCATAAAGTTCTTTAGAAATATAAAGAAAAAAAAATTAACCGCTGCTAGACGAGTCGAATATAAAAATAATTCAATTGGAAAAGCAGCAGCAGAGAAGCTCTGGTGTAAGCACGTCGCTTTCTTTATGGGGATCATTTCGTCGAAGATTATATGTACGGCTGCGGGCGCGGACAAGTCGATGAAAACTTGATGAGCTTCGTATATTACACCGATATGTATTACCTTTACTATTGAACTTTTCCGTCTGTCGGTCGTCTCGCGTTGAAATAGCCCCGCTGAGCTGCGAGGCCCAAATATCGACCCAAATCAATCGATACCATAATAATGCAGGCCATTCGAGGCGAGAATTTTTATAACGCAGGTGTGCGATTTTTGCGCTTATTTCGGAAAATCTCGACTCGCAAAAACGAGGGCATTTGCGCGTCGATCGGGGTAAAATACATAACGTATCGGTACATATTCACGCGTGAACGCTGGTAATTCCCAGTCGCACGTAGCAGCATTTGTTGCTTTGGCGCGTAATTCTTCGTGCGACCCTTGAACCGGCGAACGGCCAAAATGTGTATAATATAGATAAATCGATGAGATGGCTCGCAGGGTATTCACGTGAGAGCGTCATCGGCGCGTCATCGAGCCCCTCTCCGTCGAGCGAATATATATACATCTTTTCCAGCAAAATTCCGGCCCTTTTCAAGAGGCACGTGAGCCGCTGTAAATTCGAGGCTTTGTGCAGCTACACTATACAGCTTCCTTTTTGGCAGCTGGGCAAAATGCTTCACACAGATACATACATGCGTATTTGTGTCAGGCGCGCGTATGTGTGTGTATGAGTCTAGACGATCATCACAAGTGCACGCGTCGTCGTCATCGTCGCAGACGTCGAGTCGTTTTGCAGTCACGTTTACGTGCTTATATGTCCATGTAGCCACCGGATTCGAGGGGATGTGTTACGTCGTGTCCGTCAGAGCAATACGTATACTGTATGCTTGCTCGACTGCAGCTTTATAGAGTACAACACCGTCATACACCAATGTAATATAGGTATACGCTTTGATCGCGATCGTTTCTCCCGCAGCTCGGATGAGCCCTCGAAACGATCGACGCAACGAAAACGAGTACGAACCCACGTGGGCTTTTTCTTTTCAAATACAATCGCGTATCGGCTTGGGCACAAGTTGTCGTTTCCTGCCTATTTACCGGCTTGATTGGTTTTTTTTTCTTTTTTTTTCCAGGAAAATAATGTCAAGTCGTATTCACGTACAGGTAAGTAAGTACGTATGGCACAATAGCGTGAGTCAAGATAAATGTCGCAATGTAGGAAGTTATACGGAGTTTTTGAAAAATCTCCGCTACATAATTCCGGATATTTTTTTGTAAGAAACAAAGAGCTTTAAAATATACAAGCACAATTCGTTTCTAAAATGGTTCCCCATATTCTCGTGCGAGAAATTCACAATGCCGAAGGATAAGTTGGCCGCCTATAAGTCTATACAAGCAGTTTATGAAAAAAGGTTGTTTTTTCTCTATAGATCGGAGGATAGGCAAATAACATTTATTTCGTTCTTGAGCTAGAGACGAGAATAGAGACAGGTGCTAAAACGATAGATAGATCGGCGTGTATCGCGCGTCTGTCCGGGGTAAAGGGCCAAGGCGACGCGCCTGTGTGCCCGGCCTTCGAGTGCAAAGATCGCCTAGTCCGCGTCGTATAATTATAATTAGACAAAGGGACGTGGAAGATATAGATACCAAAGCGGTCACGGAGGGGGGAGGGGGAGTAAGTGCATTAACTGTAGAGCGTGCCAAGAGCACCAAGGGCTACAAGGGAGTACGAAGGGGAAAAAAAGGACGCGACGAGGAGGTAGCTGCACGAGCCTCGTGCGAGTCGTCGTTCGAACTGCAGGAAAATGGGATAGGCCGCGTGCAGACGAGTCGTTGCGCACGAGCTACGAAATAGGTAGTTTTTACAGACATGCAACGTATCCTAGGTATATAATATGGTATATGGGCACAGCGGGTACAGCAGTCGGTCGGCCAGTAGTCGAACGCATAGTCGGCAAGGAAAAAAAAACGCGTTACACACGTAGAGACGAGAGCGAGAAAAAGATAGGGACGCGCTTATATAGACGACGACACCGGCGCGCGTTACTGCGCTGGTGGGGACTTGGAGCCTCCAACTCGCAGAGCTATACCTTAAAGTTTTAACTACATATAAAACAGATAGATAGAGCATGAGGTGCACAAAGGTGTACATACACCTACGGTGCGCCTATTATACGTATACGATATAGTCCTATATACCAATTGCAATACGTGTAGCTTTTATATACATGTAGGTGCTATGGAGCTGCGCTCGTATTATTATATATCGTGTGTAGCTGCACACGACCTGCGACGGCTATGTGTATAGAGGCCTGCAAAAACGATGCCGATGACGCGCGCTCCTATGTTTCTGCGGCACGGCGCGCTGCTGCCGCTGCACACGAGCTGCTATACACTATAGCACACCACGGCGGCGCACTTCAGCGTGCAAAAGTTCAGTTCTCGCCGCCAACTCGACTCGTGCGCATCGGCTTATATCATCGTATATAGTCGCTCGCTCGCCGCTGCACATTCGCAATTGGCAGTAGATATATCGCAGTTGATATACGCACGCGCGACTCTTTTATAATATAATAAATAAAAATATACAGGGAGTCGAGAGAAGCTTGAAAAAAAGCCGCATCATTTGTTTGTGCCGATTCGAGTGCTCGTACAAGAAGAAGAAGAAGAAGAAGGAGCCAACGTCGTCGTGTTGTTGTGTGTCGCAATTGCAGTGCAATCGTCGTCCTGTGCAGTTGTCCTACTATACTCCTCCTTCTGTGCTCGTGCTCGAGAGTCGAGTCGAGTCGTATAGTAATACGTAAATAGGCCCTATCGAGTTTCGTCGTTGCTCGCTCGTCCCACGAGCGAATTATCCCTGCGAAAATGGTGTCCGGCGGTATGGCCTGCGTCAAGTACCTTTTGTTTCTCTTCAACCTCGTATTCGCCGTAAGTACTACTGCACAGCTTCTCTCTCTGCCGAGGGCATTATACCTATACTGTGTAAGTGTGTGTTTCTGTGTGCGCCTGTACAACAGTGCCTGTATATAGGTGCATCGTTGCACATCCTGTAGACATGCACGTAGAGAGGATGTGTATACGTGTAGAAGAGGAGCGCGCAGCATCTACATTGCGTGTTGGGCCCAGCGCGCGCGTACTTTACCTGTATACAAGGACATGGCGTGCGCGAGCTCTTCCCTTTGCTCCTTTTTTACACACTCGTACAGGAGTCTCTATACTCCGTGCAACGACTCTGACTTTTCTCTCTTTGTCCTCGCGAATATCCTCGTGCGCAGCCCTTCTCGCCGGCTGCCCCTATACCTATATATATCTTACTATAACGTATCCACGCGCCACACATTTATTGGCTACTAGTCGGCAGTCGGCTTTGTTTTGCTCCGCATCTAACCCCCCAACGACACAACGACGACATAATAATAACAACATAAGGATGACTTACTGAGTCGTCGAGCGAGTAAAAGCTCGGGCCAGCTTTTGCTATTACTTTTCCGCGAATCAAAGATCGCGATGCACCGATGAAGCTCCAAAAGTAGTTAATCGCGACTTTGCTCCTCTTCTTCCCCGTATACGTAACTCTAGCCGGCTAAAGCGTAGCTAGTACATTAACGGAGAGCCTCGCATGAGTATACGCGTTACGCAACTACGACGCGTAGATTTAGCATTTATATGATAGAAAAAGCAAAGACGCCCGCGGGAAGTCGTGTCGGGAACAACCAGGCCTGTGTTTATATACGAAACTTCGATTGTCCAATTGTCAAAATTATCTCAAGGGGGTGGGTGGCGGCGTCGTTCCGCTGGATGATTACTACGCGTCGAGTATTAAAGCGAGCCCTCCACGTAACACACTACGGGGCTTTATATTGGGCCACTCAAGACCTATACAAAATGAATTTATTAATGCGTACTCTACGCGTATATACTCGAGTGGCAGGGCATACAATAATAAACGCGTGCAGTGTGTTATATAGTAACAACAGTAGTAGTAGTAGTAGAAGTAGTAGTGGCGTCGGCGGCGTCGGTATCACCTATGCAGCCGCTCGATAATCCAGTAGCTATGTTTGCCCCTGCCGTAGTCGTCCGTCGCCTACATATCGCGCACAGCTCACTCTTGCATGCACACACACATACACAAACGCGAGTCGGGCTTGCCCTATACGTCGTACGCGCCCCTTCTGTCTCTCTCTCTATACTGCCTGCCTGCCTCGTGTGCACGTCTATCTCTTTCTCTCTCGCTCTGTGTTATAACGTAACTACCATGGAAAAAGGAGAAAAGGAGAGCGCCACAGGGGGGTGGCGTTGGCGGCATCGTGGCGGCGGCTGACGGCAATATTATACCGACGGCATTGCGCTCGAGGCATACGCACAGAGGGTATAAAATGAAATAAAATCGCAACAGCAGCAGCAGCAGCAGCCGGCGACATCGTGACGACTGGCGCGAGCCGGACTGGCGACAGCGATCCTCCCGAACTCGCTATTTAACAACGTCGTCGTCGCCCCGAGGACGATGATCCAAGCGAAGTACAGACTTTTCCCATCTCCCGCGTGGGGATATACGCTTGGGGCTTTTATAAATTCGTCCCAGCTAGACGCGCGTAACGTCGATTCCTCCTCGTGGTTCTTTAATATACATTTATGTTTATATGTACTCGAGTAAGGTTGCTAAAGTCCGCATAAAATTACTCGCAACGATGCTAGATTGATCAAGTGCATGAAAAACGGTAGGGGTGAGAAAGTGACTTTTTTGCTCGTTAGCGCACCAAATGCAACAACTATACGTACGCGAGTACTTCTGCGTGGATAGCAACAGCTCCAGTCCGTGCCACCACCTGCGCGTTTCGTTCCAAGCGCCTCTCTCATGACTTATAACTATACACACACGATATATATACATCGGACTTGCATTGCTGAGCTGCTGTTGCTGTGCCACGGAGTAGAGTTCGCTCGGCCTATTGTTCCTATAGCCGTGCTTCGACCGAATGTTTTGCCGACTACATTTTTTATCGCTTTTGCTGGTCGATATATACGCGGCTGTTGCTGCTGCCCCGCGACTTGTTGTTTAAACGGCTGAGAGCTCGGGAAAAAATTCCCCATTCGTGTATGGCTCCGTGATCGCGCGATTGTTCCGTAATATTATATACATCGTATATCGACTGCGAAGGAAATTATTTTCCACCTATTTTTTCTCGCGGTAGAAATCGGTATTTTTTTCTGCGGTGCAGCTGAATTATCCGAAATAGTTGACCAATTTTTAGCTGCAGTGCGTTAACCTTTCACCGCGCGCAACAAGATTGAACGATAAAAGTGTTTTCGCTCGGGCTCGCGGTATGCATTCGCAAAAAATCTCCCGTGTTTATTTTGCGCACGAAATCCGCATTTATATTCGATTGTATTTTCTCAGCAAATACGAGTCGTTTCTACCCTATAAATTCACCCGTCGTCTGCTTGCCACTATTTTATAGGCTTTTCATTTTAGACTGACCATAAATCATAGTCTTAATTTTGTTTTATCAAAGTAAAAAATAATATTTACAATGAAATCGGAGCTGTGAACGAAATGCATCATATTTCGATCGTTGATATGCATTTTCGTTTCATTAGGTACCGTCTATATAAAACGTTTTCATTGGTAATAGTTAAAGCTATTGGTTGATATTTTTTGTTGCTCAAAATAGTTCCATCGAGGTAAAAGTTGATATTTTCTTCGTTCACTTGAACAAGCGTTGCGATTCGTGGGAATACTTTAATAAGAAACTCTGGAACAGTACAGTAAACTTTTTCACATCGAAATATGCCGTGTAACAATAAGTTTCTAAGATAATGCAACAGCGATTCCATTGGGAAATAGGGAGTATTTATTACATTTCTACGAAGGTGTGCATATTTTTATTGAAAAAATGAGAATAAAAGATAACATTGCATCTGAACAGCCTTCTAAATGATCTTCGACTTAACTACATTTTTGTTAATCAGTTTTTGCACCAAAAAATTTAACGATAGCTTCATCTTTGGATTATGCAATTTTATAAATTGTTCAATCTGGGCTTGCGACATTTGCAAGCTCGCCTTTGCGAGTCCAATAATTTAGTTGTCCAAAGGTAAAAAAATTGATAATAGCCGCGCTGAAAGGGAACGAGCGAACGCGAATATCAGTCGCATAGACGTGTGCTGCGTTAAGAAACAACAATGGGCGGCTGGGCCCATGAGCAGCAAATTGGATAACAGCTGCAGCGGCAGCTCGGCAAGTCGAAGGTGCTCGTGTGTCGCTCCCATACTTTGCGTTGGCGCGAGTCAAGTTAGGTATGGCCGCGCGTCGATTGGACGCCCGCTGCACACCGTCGTCGTGCAGCAATTATCCTCGTCGTCAAGCACGCCTCGCTCCAACACACGTTACCTGCGCCTGCCGTGTGTAATATACGTGTTGGCTGTATAGATAGAGTCCTAAGCTCGGGCTCGTGCCCGGCGTGCTTCCCGCTCGATTTCCTTTTTCGCTCGCTAAGGCTCGCGTTCGTGCAACGCCTCGAGCTCTCTTGAATTTCCTATGAGCGATTTGCACGCATTTTATATGTATAGCGTCGATGTACTCGAAGCGTAGTGTCGATGTGACGACGACGACGACCCAATCCTTACTCGATAAATCCGTTCGGCCTTTTTTGGTGCGCCAAATCGTCGTTCGACGCTCGATCGGTCGCGCGCGTCCTGCATTCGAATGGGCTCGGCGAGAAAACGAGCGAGACAGAGGACAGAAATGTCAATGCGCTGTTACGAGGAAGAGGGAAACGTCTTCGTTATGGCGTTGTTGTTGGCATAGTCTTCGCGATGCTCGACCGGTCAACGGACAGAGGGAGAGAGAGAGAGAGAGAGAATGAAGAATCTCATTGTAGCTCGGATGCTGCTGCTGTTATTGCTCTTTTGAATTGCTTGACTTTGACACGAGTTGCAAGTTTTTTTTACCGCGGCTAGTACAGCTCGACTACAGTTGCAGTACAGAAAAGAGGGGAAGGTTGTTGACTCCTGCGGATAAGGATCTACCCCAGTAATGCCTTGGCATTAGGACAAGGAGAAGCAGCAAGATTATCGATCGAAGCGCGGGCTTTTCTCTACAATATCGTTCTCTCTCTCTCACTCTGTCTGTCTTTCTCTTTCGTGTTTCCTGCAATATTCCCTGAATTATCTATGCAACTATAGCAAAGCCCCTAGTTGACTTTTGAATAAATAAAAAATCTGGTGAGACTCGAAAATCGCCCTGCTCATCTGTGATGTACCGATTCTTTGTGAATCGCACACAAAATAAAATACATTCGAACACTTTAATATTTAACCGAAACGCTTTGAGGGTACACATTCAAACGATAAAATTGACATTTCAGATCACCGGCATCGTGTTCATCAGCGTAGGAGCTGTGATACTCATAACGTATCGAGACTACAATAATTTCGTGGACATATGGATGTTCGCAGTTCCGGTGCTCATGATCATCGTCGGAGTGGTAGTCTTCATCACGTCCTTCTTCGGATGCTGCGGCGCAGTCAAGGAGAACCACTGCATGATCATAACGGTACGTTGACTTGGCTTCTTTATCAAATTTTCTAATCTTTCTTCGCTTGGCCCTTGTTCAGAACCTGTACTTTTTTTTCTTAAAATTTTTATATATTCTTGCAATTACGTGTCATACAAGTTCTTAAGTTGAAAAATATACTTTTAAAAAGATATTCAGTTGAGGCTTGACTCAGAAAATGTTGCCCACACGAGTCATCTTATGAGTCGATTTCGATCTAATAATAGGCTTGGTCCAAGCGACATTATTACATGAGTTCATTCTTCGCTTAATTGTACCTTCAATTAGTGTACTTACTCACGCGCGAGTGATGCACTTTTTTTGTCTCGCACGAAAGCAGACTCGACAACTGCTCCTTTCTGACTCTGAAAATGCCTTCCCATTGAGCTCGTTCAAATTCTTCATTTACTCGCTAATTTTGACTCATCTCTTTTTATTAAAAAAAAGTAACTTTTCTTTGAAAATGGAACTTGAATGGCATTTGCTAAAATACGCGGTTGCTTCGCGTCAAAGTTTTGTTCCACAACGAATGATTGATTAAAAAAGTTCAAATGTCATTGACTATAATGAAAAAAATTATTAAATGAAACTTTCGTTCCCTAGTTCTCGGTACTGTTAATACTGATCTTCGTACTTGAACTGGGTGCTGGAATCTCTGGTTACATGATGCGCGGCAAGGTCAGCTCCATGCTAGAAAAGTGCATGAACGACACGCTCGTTGCCTACAATTCCAGGGAAGACTATCGCACATCGTGGGATATTATGCAACACGACGTGAGTATTATTTATTATACACACAGCATTGAGCCAGAGCATTGATATTAGTGCGCGAATCGGAAAAAGGCAGCGATTTGAAAATCGCATAAAACTCCGCGGCGACTCGAGTCGAAAAGTTCAGCCGGGCGTAGAGCGGTAGTGCGGTAGTGGTCGTCGCGGCTGCAAAGGGCGCGCAGACTCGTATATACCAACGACTCGCGTTAATTACTGTAAAACATTTAGATGGAAATGGCGTGCTATCCGGCTATATTACGAGCCGAGCACGCTACATTATGCAATTAGTAGATGAGAAACGTCGAGCTTCCCGATTTAGCACGTGGCTCGAAGCTCGCGACTCGTCGACGTAACGACGGACGGCAAAAACCACTCGTCTGCCATAAGTTTTTTTTTTTTAATGAAAAACGAGCAGGACTATATACTTGGGCCGCGACTATCGTATTTACGGTTGCGCATTCGACGCACGTGCCGCTACGAAGAACGAGCGAATGTCCACCTTAACGCACATAAGCTTTACCGTTTAATTTCATTCGTCGATTTTCTCAGCTCGAGTATAAAGGGCCTACAGAAGACGAGGAAAAATTTCAGCTGAAATCATTGGTCGATGACAGATAGATGCCAATCGCGACGAGATCGCACTGCGCTATAGCCTCTCCGCGCGTGCATTATTACAGGACTATCGATCAGGCAGAAAAAAAAGTTTTTCTTACTGCACTCGGTATGTGTGTTTATGGCAGCGGCTAATAGCTGAGAGAGCCGGTACATAAAAGTACACGCGCGCGCGCACACGCAAGCCGCGCTCGGTGGCAGTGCTGGTGTGCGGTGGCGGCAGCGCCAACGACCGGAAAAAGAAAAATGCGTTTACGCGGCGCAGACACGCCACTGACACGAGGCAAATACAGAAAGAGAGAGAGAGAGAGAGAGAGACGCAGAGAGAAGGAAAAAATGAAAAACACATATGCACAGAGGTATATCACGCGGTTCAAATCGAGAACAAGTGTCATAGCTCTCTCGCGAAACCGTGGGCGTATATGGTTGCATACGAACGCGCATAACGGCACGATTAGCATTGCAATACTCGTAGGCCGATACCAAAGACGACGACGCTGTGCTTCTTACCACATATATATGCATATGTACGCGCGTCGCGGAGCAGCAGCGATGCAGTGCGATGACACTTTGATATTATACGAATACGTATGTTGATTCGACGAGACCATAATACGCGATTCCTACGATGCCATTGCGACGATCCTCGGACATTATATGGATACGAGCTCGGGATTGAATTACCGCGAGCAGCTCGCGTTACGCTCCAGAATTCATATACGTATACGCACGCACGCGTGCATTATATAGGTATAATACGTTATATATTGTACACACGCTGCACGCACTGCGTCCACGTCTGCGCGCGCAAAGCCGCAATAATTCATCGCGTCCTCGACGAGTGCGTTGCATAATTTATCTAAAGTCAAAATAAAACTTTTTTTCTTATAGTTCGTCGCGTTTCGTCTATCCTTACCCGCCACTCGGGCGAACGACGTTTTATTACTTTTTCACGCAGCCTCAAATGTTTTATAAAGCCGCGCGCACCAAGAGAAAAAGTTAAGGTCGAGAACTGTATTAATCAAAAGCTTCGTCGCGGCGGAGCTATATCTGTGCTATGCATTATTAATAACTTTTTATGTATTTATCATGCACACGTGTACGATCTTATTGATTTTAAAAGAACAAAGAATTACTCGACTCGGTAGACACGCTTTTAAAATGAAGAAAATAACCTAATTGTCATTAACGAAATATAAAATTCACATTACCGCTCGCGGTTACATCTTCAACGAATGAGTATTTGCTTGCACGATACATTTAGAGAAAAAAATGTTTTTTGTTTTTTGCTCGTTACGCCATTAGCACTGCTACTACTACATCATTACCAATCGATATCGCACCTTGTCGTGCTGCGCGGCCGTGTACGAGAAATAATTACTGTATCATAATGCTCGACTTGAGCGAAAAACGAACCCCTCGACGTCGCGTCTATCTTTCCAACTATTTTTCTCCACGATATGTTCTATACTCTCGAGCGTAATAATATATATAACGATTTTTCTATGTGTATTAGCTGCATGTACTATAGGAGCCTTTGTATGTGTGCCACCGCGTACACACGATTCTCGGTTGGCTTTCTATTTCTAGGAAAAATAACGCAAGCGCATTTTTCGTTTTCTTTCTTTTTTGTTGAAAATGGAAATTTAAAGAGATTCTATCATCAAACGTACCGCCATAATTATTCAAATTTGGAATTGACATCGGGATCGAGATCGTGGCAATTGCCAATTAAATGAATAATACGAATTTTCGAATAATATGAAAAGCTCAACGAGCAATAAAAAATTCAAAAGCTGGCATAATTTCGATCGTTATAGTGACTCGGTGACCAAGTGCTGGCGTTATTTTGACGCACCTGGTCATAACACAGTGCAGCAGTCGGCAACAATCCCTTCGCGCGTATGTTTTTACTTCATTGGCATCGCCAGTTCTCGCCACTCTATCATACATTATTCACTATTCAAAAAGTATAGTAAGAAAAAAAGCCCCATAGAGGCGGCGGCGGCGTTCGCGTATGTAGTCGGCGTCAGTCGCTATGCTCGCGCAGCATATAGTCGTGTCGTATGCATGCATGTAGGTATACGCGCAAAGCTCGGCTCGCTCTACACATCGCGTCCTTATCGATCGATCATTTCTCACATATTATATAGACGACGCACACGCACGTACACGTGTATATTATGGTACTTATAAGCGCTGGTTGCCAAAGCACATATACACAATATATCTTTTCGCGATAGGCTTCGCGGCTTCTATAAGCTGCTGCACTCTACACGACTCGGCAAAGGGCAAACGCGCGCGTCCCGTACGTCGAAAGTCCGACGATGATGTATGCACGGACGGACGGAAGCGCAGCGAGACGTCGTCGTGGCTTTTTCGCCGTTATCGCAGATACGCGCGCGCGCGTCGTATGCAACCGATTCCTGCGCTACTCTCGTGGACACTTGCCTTGGGAGGCCGTTGACAGTTACAGAGACGCGCCGCTCGCTAATGTATAATGCGCCGCGTCGGCGAGGGAAAAACGACCTCGAGAGGAGGAGCGATGTGCGTTTGCGATGGAAACGACGAAAATAGGTCGTGTCCGGTGCGATGGGCTGCGAGAGCTCTACATACATTAGTCCAGCGATTAGTCGATATTAAGTGCCACACTGTGCGTACAACGTGCACGCGGCGACTTTCCCACTGCCGATCGTCTGGTCGCACGTCTCGTTACGTATTTCGCTCCGATCTTTGCTGATATAACGCGATACGCGATATGTCTCACTTTTTTCCGCGTTCTTCGTCATTTTTGCCAGAGGTTTTGGCTGCGATCCAATGGCGTGGGGCCTGGAAGCCGTACGTGCATGCGCAGCATTTCCCAAAAGCAATATATATGAATCGATGCGAAAAAAGCTATACCGCCAAGAGAATAAATATATGCACGCACATCGGAGCGGGAAGAGAACATAAAAAAGATAGAGCCGGGCGTATCGATGATGTTGGTAATGGTGGCGGTGGTGACCGCGGTGAGCTCGCAACCGCTGGCATAGGAATATTTATTGTAATTGCAGTCGAAACGGGTTCTCGTCATGCGTTACATTGCATTACACAGCCGAGTAATGCGCGCGAAACAGGTAGACGGGTGTGTATAATGTGCGTGTGTCTCGATTCTCGTCTTACAGTTGCAATGCTGCGGTGTGGATCGCCCGTCCGACTGGGAAAGGGCCGGCTTCACCGGCAACACTCTGCCCCAGTCCTGCTGCACCGAGATGCAGGGCATTGATCCGACTTGCGACATGAACGATATCAAGTCCAATACCGAGGGATGCAAGCAGCAGCTACAGAGGAAAATCGAAGAGAACGGACTGATCCTCGGTGGAGTGGGCATTGGCGTTGCTCTCATACAGGTACGACGTCCGACGATACGATCGATAACTATCTACCCCTTTCGTGAAAACCTTTTCCCAATCTATTCTCCCGAAAGCTCTCCCTTTTCCCGGCGTTCAATCTCGCCAGTATATAACTCATCTCGCTTCCAATCGAGACCGATCGAATCCACTTCGTCCCTTTCAAAAATTGCTCCTCTTTTACTTGTACAATCTTCAAAACTTTTCCTTCGCGCCTATTACAACTTCATACATGTAATTTGAAAATTTATGATTTCAGTTGATCGGTGTGCTGTTTGCTTGCTGCCTAGCTCGCTCAATACGTCGCGAGTACGAGACTGTGTAAGCTGATCCCAAAAGACTATAATAATCTAAATTCTAAACACTGCTATCTGATTGCCAAAAAAGTAATCCTGATAACTAACTAACAACAACAAATAATGATAATTCTTTTTCGATCTCTCAATGTGTGTGTATGTGTGTGTTGCGTGCACAATGTGTTTTTTTTTTCTTATCGACTTATACACGCGTGTCTTTTTCGCATCGCGATCATGGTATATTGGCATTTGATGTAATACAAATCTACGTCTCATTGATACCTGTACCGAAATCGTTTTTTAAACATTTATTTCCTGTAATTTTTTCACTCTATTTGTGCACAAAACGAAACGAACAAAACAAACAAAACGCACCGAAAGTCTTCAGTATTTGCTTTTCATTTAAGTTTTATGTACATTTTTTTGTCGATATGTGTTTACAAACAAAAGCTTTGGATGTAAGTACAGTTTTTCAGAATTCACTTTTGCTGTCATTGTAAATATTAAATGTCTTTTATGCATACAAAACCAGTGACTATCGATATTAGTCACTTGACTTTCCGTTTTATCATTAGTTCTGTATTATTGCGCTGTAATGTGGTATAGTGGTGAAGGACGCCTTTTTTCCAAGGTATACAATGGTGTGCAGCAATTGATATACTATATGCATGTTGATACATACTAACACGTAAAAGTAACATTTATGTAACGACGCAGTCTGTTAAATGGATCGTGTGCATGCAACAACAAAAATTAATTAACAACTGTGACGGTGAGAAAATTCATTTTTCACGTAGTTTCTAAGTACTGATGCTGTCACGACAAAAGAATACGACTGAAATTGTACTCGCTGCCTTTAATAACTTTGATCTACTTCGACGACGAAATTTCACCAGTTGCTGTTCGATCTGCAGAGTAATTATTTTTCCCGCCAAGTCGCTCGATATGAAAAAGTTAAGACGATGATTACATTTTCAAAGAACGAGAATAATCGACGAGATGAATATGTAATCGCCGCGATTTCGCTGTGAAATCTTTTGCACTGGCCTTGACCAACTTGAGCGACTAACAACAAAAATAATCATAGTAAAGGATGACGATCATTTAACTAAAGGACATGCACAAGTTCGTTAAGCTTGGGTACCCTTGCTAGCATACCTATTGTAATTGAATTCAGTCATCCTTGATGACATTTGGAAAGGAGAAAAAAAATAAATACCAATTACAGCTAAGACTACCATTATGTAAAACTTTTAACAGTGAATCTTAATAACATCTATTTATGTTCTTAATTTAACATCCAATTCTTTTCTTTTGCTACGATACAAAAGTCACATTTCGGTAAAAAAAACGTTTAATTTAATGATGTAAAAGTATTTAATATTATACTCTTTTCTGACACTCATTTTTCAAATTTTTTGAAAATGAATCTTTTTGTATATTATGACATATATCTGATATAAATAAGATATATATTACGTTGTTTTTTTTTAATAATAAATATATACATTACAAAGTCTACGTAGTGTTACAAAAGCCATTTCATGCATTTTGACAGAGTCAAATGTAATTAGTCTACACAGGAGCTTAATTGCATTTTTGATAACTAAGGAGAAAAGTTGATAAAATATAATACTGTCAGAGACTGCATCGAATTGATGTTACTGCCAAAATTTTTAACCGCACATAATAAAGTACCAACTTTTACGTAACAAATATTTTTTTACTGTACCTTGTAATGAAAATAAGAGTAAAAAATGACGCGTGAACATATAAATAAGTACGTGAAAACTTACGAGTAGACAATACATAATTCGATTATGTAATATAAGAGAGTGATGACTAATAATAATTTACATTAATTCACTTACCATTGCATTTTTGTTACAAAAAATCTTGCGATAAAAAGGCAGTGAAGATTAAATGTACAGTAAATGAGCTGAAATGCTCCCAAAAATTAATGGGATTTGGCGTAAGCTTCTTTTACATTAACATTGAAGAATGTAATGTGGTGAGACATAGTCGATCCAAGAATTTGTTCAAGTGTTCAGAGCTTTATGTACTCGTAAGCTTCGATATAATCATTACGTTATATAATCGCACATATAATATATTTATAATGTTCATGCACTTACTATTCACACTTGGTGTTTGTTTACTTATTATGTGTACAGCCGTTCTATAATAATTATGTTCTTCGTCTATTTTATTTATTTATTTAAAATGAAATTTATACTGAAACTCATTTAAATATCTAATGGTTGTGGTATACACATGCTTTGGTTATTTTTATGATTAATGGTTGCGGTAAAATAACCTTCTTAACACAAATTGTCAAATAAAAAAAGTTACAATAAAGTTAGAACATATATAAATTTCAATACGAAGCATATATTATTACGCATTCCTTGGCACTTTTTTTGACTGCTTGCTTTAAAAAACGAATAAATAAATGCAGCAATATACAAAAATTCATTGCACTAAGATGTTATCTGAAATAATGCTGATATTTATACTCTTTGCTTTACCTCACGCTGATTTTTTACCATTTCAGTGAGACCACGGCACATTGATCGGCCAGCGCTTTACCGGCTAAATTTTTATGCTAACTTGTCCATCATGCATATACATAGTAGAAGAAAAGAAAACAAAACAAAAGTAAACGCTACATTTTTTAGAAAAAATTGAAAAAGTAACAAAGTACGTCTCGCGCGACTATGCAACAATCATCAAAATCATCCCGTTTATCGTAGGTTTTGTGTTCAGTTTAGTTAGTGGTGGCATTGATGGAACATAAGACAAATTGAACTACCAAAATGAGATAATTGACCAGCAAACAGCTACTTTGCTGTACTTTAAATTGGTGAACACATTTTAAATGTATCTTATCTTTGAAAAACCTTATAATGTTCGATGATTTTGATCCGTTCGAACCTTAAGAGTTGCGCGACGTCAACTTGTACATTGTATTATAGTATTACATATGCTATACATGATGGATAGATTGTGCTAATTTATAAAACTTGAAAATTCTAAAAATGAAGATGGGTTATGAAGAGATTTAAGAAAAAAATATGGTAAATTACGTTTTTTTAAATTTAAGTAATGCATGCAATTGTAATAAAAAAACGAAGGAACTACGATATTTTAATATTACGTAAATCAAGCATGGTTACATGTGTCGCTTCAAGTGTTGGGTCGAGATATCTGAATAATTATTGATAGTTTTGTTACAAATTATCTCAAAGTATTTATAATGAAGACTCAATATAATTTTTGATGCATCGTGTACATAAATCAAGTTTATGTAAAAGCGATACGAAAAGTTTACCATTAGTTTAAATTTGAACAACCAACGTAAAAATATCATTCACGAGTGCAGTGTGAATAATTCGAAAACTCACTTTACAACTAAAATTCATTTGGATAACTCGGTCCAATACTGTATTATCGCCTTTTAATTAAAACAAACATCAAGTTATCGATGAAAAAGAGTCATTAGATTATAATTTAGTCCAAATGGTTTGGCAATATTATATTCGCTGACCATTCATGGAACTCAAACTCACTCACCAACTTAATAATATAATCTACATAATATTTTGTGCGCGTTATAATTATTACATTATTGAATATCCCAATATTGCATTTATTAATCTACACTCAATGTAAATTTCATTATCAATCAATAAATGAAACCAATTTACACGCTAAATATAGTGATATCAACGTTTTATTTCGGTAAATCGTTAAATTAATAAAAAACTTTCTATACTTTACTTGATCGTACTTTAAAGTCTCAAACAAATACCTCCATTTGTATTTTTGTTTTCTCAAATTAATTCATGTCTTCGACCACGCATAAAAGCTCAATCGTTGTAAACCTAATTAGCTGTTGGCGTTGCTTTTAAAGCCTCATTAGTGAAACAGTAACAGTAGTTATTTACAAAACATTGCGACTTCTTTATTGATCATAAAGCAACAATTATACCGCAATAACAAAAATGAAAGTCATTTAAATGAATATAGACTTCATATTCAAATGCATAGGAGACATGAAATTCTATTTTCATGGGATGAAAAATTGTATTGAACTTATATTGTTGTGGGACCAAACAGGGAACGATTACAGATTTGTTACTGTGATACTCTGTAAAAATTGCTTGCAACTATCGCATATGTTCATGTAAATGTTTCTCAGATTTAATGTTTAAATGTAGATCAAAATGTGACCTCGAAAAACAATTTGTTCAGACAACGTCGACTGCTTTCATAAAGTTATTTTAATGATATCGTATTATTATATGTTTTGAAGTGTTTTTCCATATAAATATTTATATTTATATCATGTGTACGTTGTAAAAGAAAAGCTAAAACATAGATTGGTACGTCGCAAGCTAGGTGCACGTAAGCACATTTCATGATGTCCATTTTTTGAATTATTATTGGTTACGTTAACGAGCAGAAAACCTTTTGCCAATCCTGCCTTTATATCCAAGATAATTTAGCTTTTACACGGGAATGATATGTACTGGAGATGAAATAAATGAAAAGCGAAGCAAAGCTTCAAGTGAATGAACTTATTGACTAGATAAGGAACATTTATACTTGTACTACGATAAAACAACTACGGTGTGTCAATGACATCTCTGGCCATTGGGTGATACTTCAAAATAATTGCGCGTGACGCTTGTAATGAATGATATCATGAAAAAAGTGCCCTATTGATCTGCTCGTTACGTGGATCCAATGAAAGTACATTACATTCAACTATATGTGTAATTAAAATAATCGATTAATTTTCGATAAAGAGTAGTGAATAAAGTATTAAAATTGTATACTTATGTTTTATTTTCAAAATTTGGCAAAGTTAAACTTTGGATGATTTATAAGCTCATTACACTAGAAGAAGATGTAAGAAACAAATTAAAAGTGTATTTAATCCATAATAATAGAACATTTTTAATAAAGATTAAAATTAAATAATAAAAGAAATAAACGTAATTGTTATTCCCTTATAAATTAAATTACGAGTCGTTTGAATTATTACTGATCACAATAATACGAGCATTATCGGGCATATTCTTCACTGTACAGTTTCATAAGTACTCCAAAGTTTTCTCTTTCTAATACGCTAATGAATCATCAACTATTTTATTTAAGAATCTTGCATGCATGAAAAAATAGTAATAGTAATTATGATAAAAGTATGAAATAATAATAATAATAATAATGACATTAATGGTAATTGAGAAAATTATAATTATTCACTTATTACGCTTATTTATCAATTGTACCGGACCCATGCAACAGGCGCCTCGCTACATAAAAAAATTACAAGAAAAGAGAAGACTGAAAAAAATTTATTGTAATCAGTATTAACGACAATTAGCTCGGGGAACTCGTTAAAAAAATTACTCAAAATGATACTGTTCATGAAATTTTTCAGATGCAGTTCTATTTTATTACCCCAGGATAAAATTTCGGACGTCTATTCGCACTCAAAAATAACTCATACCATTATATTGCATCACGGGATTTTGTATGCACAGATATACAAGAATGGGTTATTTTAGAATGCAAATATGCAGTCTCTACAACTTTTATAATGTAAGAGTACGTATAAAAACGATATGTTAAATCATATTCTCTAGTGTTGCGGACAATTGAATAATTCAGCGCAAGTTGTGAAAAAGAGTTCATAATATTTACAGAAAAAAATAATACGCAAGATTAAAGAAAAACACATATTTGTCTAATACTTATGATACGTATTAATGAAATATTGAGTAATAAATGAAAAGTAATTTAATTCTGCTTCTTTTTTTGAAAAACGGTACCTGTTAAGTTTTTTTCTTGGGATTTATGAAGGATAAAAAATAACAAAAATAGTACAAGTGAGTATATTTATTTCACTTTCTTATCCATATTATTAACTAGCAGACTAACATTTACTAATAGTTATTACTGATGAGGATAATGAAAAGACAAACATGTCTCTTTCTCTCTTTTTCTTAAATCTTTTTAACGCGCGTGAAGTCAGCCTGGACTTATCTATACGAATCAGACACACGATTGCATCGTAATCATCGATGAATTGCACGAACAATCACTTTGAAATTTCTACAAATATCTTTCATCTTTTTTTCCCTTAGTACCAGTATTTTTTTAATAAGACAAAACTTATGAGGATATAATTAATTTATTACTACAGTTCTCTTTCTCATTATTACCTGTCATTAAATGATTTTCTCAAATAAAAGTATATATCTCCCCACTCTTATTTATTTAATAATTCATAGATGAACTCATTAAAACGACATTTTTCACATTGTCTTTTTTTCATAATACCAAAAAATGCAATACTTGAATCAGAAATGGATCATAGCGATAAAGATTGATCAAACTAATATGTTACATCATTGATATCAGAGTGAAAACCAAAATTACTAAATATATTTTTGTATGTATAATAAATTTGATAGCAAGCCATATTATGACATTTCCTATTCATACGAAAAATTGTCTACAGATTTTCATGTTTGATTTTGACTGGTTCTATAACTCGATTCAAGTATTATTTATTAATTTTTGTTGGCTCGACTGCAGCTGTTTTCATAAATTCTCTTGTTACACACTCAATAGTAAAAAAATGAATGAACTTGAATGATACAATCTAGGACTTGACACAAAAAGTTTTTGAATCAAATATACTTTATTAATCATCTAGATCAATTTCTAGTTCCATTTCAAAGTTTAAATATACCTCTATAGGTGTTAAAAGTTATCAGTTGTAAATTCATTAGTTAATTATCGTTGGCTGCAGTTTTTAAAATTTGATATAAACTTTTATTGATTTTTTTGCAAATATTACAAATATATGAAGAAGCATTTGACGTTGAAGTACAATGCGATGATTGTACGAAAATCTGTTACGATCATTAATGGTAACGAATTATTATCAAACTTCATCTTTCTGTTATTGATTCCAAAGAATAATATCACTTCGACTTATGATTAATATGTATCACTTTTAGATATGCGAATACATAATAATCTTTCTTCAATAAGGAACGCACTATTACCATAAGTTTTCTAGAACTGAGCCTACTCTCGGCAGAAAAAATTGTTAATTTATTTGGAAACAACACAAGGTGAATTATTGCGAGCGGAACACATTTTCTTTTCAAGCGATGAATGTAAAAAAAGTAATCATTTAAAGACTCATCAATTCAATTTGTTAAAAATTTATCACTTCAGTTACAGTTATGTGCTATTTACACCGTGTCTTTCGAAAAATGTATACATGCTGACAATGTAATTATATTGCAACATGTATGATTAAGCTTTCATTTTTTGATATTTTTCCAAAAATGAAAAATAGCAAAAATAATATTTAGTTGAATAATCGCGAACAGCCTAAGCAGCTGTTGAAATTGTTATAGTGATATTTTTTCTTAAGATTATACACACACATATGCAATTTCATAATAATCGAATAGCTATGTCACGCAGTGTCGATTATTTACAAAGTGGATTACTTCAATCCTTTTTGTCGTCGAAATTTTGCAGACTGATACAAAAATAACGTGGAAGCATGAAGAATATTTCAAATAGACAATACAATTTCCAGACATTTTCCTTAGTATATATTTCTATTATAATTTTTTCCAAGATTTTCATTTTTATAGTAAGTATAACTGTCGACGTAAAATTATGAATATTAATATATTTTGTACGGGAACTAGCGAAACACGAGAAAGTTCGCTTTTGTGTGTATATAGTAATAATGTTTTTAAATTCATTTATAAAAAAGGCATTACTCCTTTCAAACAACCAATCATTCATTTTTTGCATTTTAATTTAATTTTAATTTTATTCCATTTTGTGTAATATTAATAATCTTCTTAGTAGTTAACGTCTTTTATCTTCTCGAAATTTTTTTTTAAAAAACGCTTGAATACACTCAGGCCTCAAATGATCAATAAATATTTAGTAAGAGAGTGTTGTGAAGGAGCTCAAAGAGAAGGCAAAATATATAAAATTCAAAAAGGTAAAAATTCTTCGACGTTTTTTAATCATACAGAAAAATGTTATATAATAATATTTATTTACAGTCACAGTTGATTTGTTTCATATTTAATTCATTTTTTAGTTGATGGCCCCAACAGTCTTGACCTGTTCGCCGCATTGAATTTAATAATCAATAAAAATTCATTGAAAAAAATGTTCACAATTAATTTCTTTTTCACTAATGAATAAATTAAATTAATGATAAAATTCATAGTTCGGGAAAATATTATTTATAAAAAGTTTACCAATGAAACGATGTATTGAGCATAGTCTACATATCATATACTAACTAATAAAGCAAGTTTAAGTTTAAAAAAGACGTTAAAAATTATGAAGTATGAATCGAACGCTTAGGAACCAAGCAATTACGACGTCCAGGAAAGTGTCTGGGTCCCTTTTACAACTTATTATCTGCTCTTACTAACTAAGTACCTAATTTACTTACAACTTAGGAATTCATTGTAATTCGAGTGTGAATAAAGTACTAGCACGTCTTGGTACTTCATTTTCATCTTAAAAATTAATATCCTTCTCATTTTCATTCACTCACTCTTTTTTTATCTATCAATAATTTATGAAATCCCTCTTCCCTCAGTTTATTTGTATAATTTCAGTAGTAAAAAAAATTACTCCCTACTCATGCCTTGATATCATACACTATTTATTCTTAGGCACTACTGCACCTATTTGGAAAACATCGACCAATTATAACTTATAAATTCACACACTTACTACAAATCAATTTTACACAAGTCTTGGGGTCATTGATTGTAAATCTAGCTGATCTGATGATTTGATAATGACGAAATGCGTGGTACGATTGAGATCTACAGCATGAATAAATTGACGATTATTATGACTTACATCAATGATTCGTGAATCCACATTTGGTCAATGTTGAATTAGGGAATATAATTCTCGATGATGCAGTCTGATGATTATTTTTGAAATAGGTAATGATGAAAAATCCATTGTCCAAGAAAAATTCACACATGTCGTTTTTGAACCATGAATAATAGGGTGTAATAAATTGGCATGAGACTTGTGAGGAGTTTGAGAGTGTAGTAAACCTATTCATGTTGCATAACGTTTGGTCCATAAGCGTGCTATGCGGTCATGTTCTTCTCGATTTTGGATATATTGCGTTGCTATGCTACCCACCAGTGGATCAGCTGAAAATAATGCATTCTTATAAATTTGATTTCATAAAATTTTATCTCAAGTTCATTCAATTTTCTTTTAAATCAATACAATTGATAAGTTTTGTAATCCTACTTATATAGGTTTATGTAAAGATTTAGATTAACTCTGCTAGTATCTGACTAATGAAGGAATCTTGATTTAATATTCTACCATTTTCTACTTCTCACTATAAAATAATTAACATGTTTCAAAAACAATGACAATTTTTAGGAAGCATTCAAGTTGAACAAATTTAAAAAAAATGTCAAAAAATCGGAGTTTGAAATTGGATGAATACTAACATCAAGAGAAAAATAGTTTTTTTAGTTTAAGATTACAATATTACGTTTTTTTTTTAATACAATAATTTATTGTTAGACAACATGTATAATAATTTGATGATAAGTGTGTTGAGTATACTATTAGATACTCTCTTTAGAAAACTAAATAGTCACCTAATAAGCAATTTTATTCTATTGGTAAGTAAAAAATATTTTCAATATCTATTTAAAAGTAAAAAATTACCTGGATTGCAATCTGTGAGAAGGGAACAAATAGACAGCAGTACTTTTGATATAGTGAGGGCTGGAGACCAATTGTCTTTAAGAATATCTAAGCAAATGACACCTTGGCTGTTTATATTGCAATGATAAATGCGAGTCCGAAAGGTTACCTGAGAAAATTATATGAAACATTAAAGTTGCACAACATAATTTAAAATTTTTAAACATTAATTTTATTAACAATAAAATAAATTGGTCATTTACCTTTGGTGGTTTAAAAGGATATTCTGGAGAAAAGTGAATGTCTAAGAAGAAAACACCACCTTCATAAACTGATCCTGGTGGTCCTAAAATTGTTGACACCCACTCGTACAAATTATCACCTTTTGGTCCAGCACTAAAATAAAGTGAACAATATTTTTAATACTATTTGCATAGTTATTACAGATTAAAATTAAGTAAAATAATCAAGTTGCAACTAACCTGCAATTTGGAGGTGGATCCAAAGTAATTTCTGCTAGTTCTTTTTGTATCCTGAATAAGTTCAAATAATTTTAATTCATTCAAACCCCAGTATATGTCTATTTAATTTGATTATTAGCTAAATAAATTAAAATTAGCTATGTACCTTTTGGCTGAAGTACCCAGTGCTTTAGACATTTTTGGATTGGGTTTAGTTTCTTTATTTTCTGGTTTGTTATCAGCTATGGATGAACCGCGGCCACGACCAGAACCACTTGAGCCAGCTCCAGAAGACATATTTCTATAAAATTTATTAGTTATTATAGAGTAATCAAGTAAAAGATTGAAGAATGAATCACTGTTATTTTTGAGAAAATGTTGCTGTAAGTGTATTAGCTCGCGTAGTTGGCAGTGATCCAAAAACAGGTAGCGATTCACTTAGTAAAAGGTGTTTAACCTTGACAATTAACTGAAGACTTCATTTAAGAGAAAGATAATGAAACATTATCTATAATTATTATAAAAAAAAGTTAAAAAAGTGACAGTAATTTTGGAGCTAGATAGTCATATTACATTGATAAGTATTTGGTAGATGTCCAGAATAAAGTTTAGAACAAAAAAGAGCTAATTTAAAAGCTGCAATATTTGTGAGTGATCAGGCACTAGCTGATTCCTGATGAGCACTAAGTCCTCCGAGGGAACAAAGCAGAAAGCCATTAGCACCTAATCACCATTTTGCAAAGCAAGCATAAAGCACCTTCCATTGCAGTGACAAAGAGCAACAGTTCATGTTTTGCCTGGAGTAAAGGCTTCCGTTTTTTTACCTCGGTGGTTGCGGTGTCGGTATAGAAGTGATGTGCGTGAATCTGAATATGCAGCGGGGTATGAAAACATATAAAACTAAAATGAAGTAACTATGTTAAAAGCCATTGACCATCCACCCTCGTCCATCCGAAAAAAGCTAAGTAATAGCAGTAGCCGTGGCGCACGCATCAGCTAACTATATTATATATATATTATATATATTATATACTTGTACGTGTATGTACACAGCTATGTAAGTGTGTAAATATATAAGTATATTTGAGCACAGGCACGCATACAGCCGCACACTGTGCTCTTGGCACCGTCTTCTCTATTTGCAAACCGGAGCAAAACTTGCCTCTCTTTCACTTTCGTATTTTCTATATGCTGTAGGTATACATATACTTAGGACTGTAGGTAGTTGCGATGTAGTTTCAATGCATAAATATGTATAACTGTGTCTGTGGTACTACGATAGTCACGAAACTGCTACTTGTCCCTCAAAGCCGAATTTTAAAGAAAATCACGAGACTGGATTTGCAAAATCTAACCATGTATCAAATGAAAAACTTCAAATGCGATGTATGTTAATGTCAAGTAAATAGAAAAAGAAGGAAAAGTTTTTCTTGAAGCAAGAGGATGATGCGCGAAAATATTTGCAATGTCAACGATATAAATCATTAAAAGGATAAAAAAGCAAAGGAAAAAAGCATATATACAATTAGTTGCAAGTGCCTACCTTCTAAAGAAATTGAAGAAGAAAAATGTAGGTACTGAAGAGCGGCCGGCTAAGCTAAATCAACTAGCCGGTGCCTATCGCTGCACTGGCGTGCGGTACACTACGCGGGTGATGCTATTGCAGCCAAAGGGCAGCAGCGATTTGGTGTTTAGGCCGCGGGTATATATTATATTAGGCGCACTCCGTGAGCTCGCGTACATACACAGCGCAGTCCCGAGTCAGATGCGACACTAGTCTGTACAGCTCCGAGCTGTCGTCGACTCTCTCCCTGTTGATCTGTGGATTCGGCTTACGAACGCCGAAGACTCGGTAGAGGTGGTTTTGCAAATAAAACTGACGATGCTCGATGACGATGACGACGACGGTGATGATGATAATGATAAGGAGGATCGACGCCGAGATTGACAACGTTGAGAAATCAGTAAAGAGAAAAGCAGTATGCAGCTGCAAGTAGCTGCTATTCTTCAACAGGAGCCGTTGCCCGTTACTATCCTTCTCTCCGTGTCCGCGTGATCCCATACACACGTTCTTTCTTTCGGAGCAACAATGCAACGCGTTTATCCCGGCCTGCGAGGTGCGAGAGTTGCAAACTGTCGAGCTTCTCTTACGCAGCGATGATTTTACGCTTGCCTTGCTCGATGTTGTAACATGAATCGAAGAATTACTGGTAGGAGCAGCAGCAGCCGGCTGCCGGCATTCGCTAGCCTATACCTAATGCACCAGGGCCCGCACAATATGCACCAACACACGTATATATCTGTATCTACAGCTCTTGTATGTCCTTTTTTTTATTATATATATAGATATTAATCCGGACGCGCGCGCAGATTTCCGAAAATTTACACTAGCTGTCTCGCTTGCACTTGCGGGGGGGTGACGCACTGGCGAACCTGCATCAGTTCGCGTCCTACGCGCGAATCGCAGCTCTTGTGCAGTCGCAGAATTTCAAACTGCAAACGAACTTCCGATCCTCGGTCGTTAAAAAGTCGATTCGAAATCTAGATTCGAACGAATCATCAATCAAAAATCCTCCCAACGACAGACAAATCGGTAAGTAGGTACTGACATTTGCGACGTACGTATAACACGAACTTACTCGCACCTTTGACGAAAGTCGATCCCGCGTCACGGCGTGTTTAATCCAGCCTTCACTATTCCTTTTGCTGCATTAGTTTTTTTTTAATTTTTTAAATTGAGAAAAATGTGTTTATCTAGTTCATAGGTTGCATTAACTTGTACAATAACAAATTAATTTACATCCTAGCAGCATACACATGTGACAATCTGAAAATAATAGACGCGAAGGGTAATGAATTTTTTAAGCAAATATCTTTTTTCGTAATTAAAATTTCTTTGTTTGTAAGTTTGGGTTAGATCAACTCATTAAACATAAATTTTATAAGTTAATATTCGAAAACAAATTTGTTACAGGCAATTCAAACGAAACAAAATACTGAAACAAGGCCAAATTGAAAATTTTGAACGCATACTTTGAGATGTCCACATATTTTTTTTAAGAACTACGTCCATGTTAAGAAAACAACAAAATCAAGATTTTCACATAACTTTTCACAAAAATATTAAATGGAAATTTCAAAAAATCTATTTTAGATTAATTCACGGCTCATGTTTAAAATTTTTGCATCTACATCCTCAAAAATTTATGTGCGATTCAACGTATGGTAGAAAATGGGAGAAATATAATAAACATAACGAGATTTGATTATTAATTCAAACTATATTAAACTATTATTATGTACATTAAAAAAAATTTTTTTTAATTAACTCTAACAATTTTCCTAAGCTATCATACAAAATAACATTAATTGTCTTCGTCATCATTCATTCGCATCTTTTTAGGTTTTGACCGTCTTTTTACATCTGATTTTCGTTTTCTCTTTTTCTCTTGCCTCTTCAATTTTCTTTTATTGGCTATTTCTGGATTGGTTACAAACTGAAAAAATTTTAATATAAATTTAATTTTTTTCAGTATGATGGAAAAAATCTAAGTAAAAAAATTATTTAGCATCTTACCTGGCGGGATCTCTCTGCCTTCTTTTCGGCTCTTTTCACTTCCAAATGTTGACTTGCGGCATTGAAGAGTCGAGTGTATTCGTCCACATCCAGAAGTTTTTTGAACATTGTAGATACTTCTTTAGCTAACTGTCGGAGAGGTGCATTTTCCACTTCAGTAGTTGACATTTCGCGCACCAATGGCGATACTAATTGAGGCAGCATTGGCTTTAATTTTTCGATGTCAATATTGACAGTCACACCTGCTATCCAGTGAAATACCGCTTTCCTCTGAGAAAATCATCATTTCAATTATTATATGAATTTTATTAGATAAAATTGAGAAAAGGAAAATTTTTTAAGAATTGAAAACTTACCACTACTATTGATTGTGGTGCTTGAGTTATTTCCAAATTAATTTTCTTTCTCAGGGATTTTATGAGCCAATGTAAAGACATCTTCTTTTCTGATTCCTCTGTATTTTCAATTTCTACGAATTTTGCCAAATATAGAAGATTTTTAATAATTTGATCAAAAAATTCTTCGTGATCTACTCCGGGGTCCAATTGATCTACGTTATCTAAGATAAGACTGCGTAATTTTTCAGCCGACCATTTCTTAACATCCACAGCATGGAGTACAAACCCAAGCACTTGAGATGCCCTCTCTCTTACCCATAAATGTGGATGAACTAAATGTGAATGACAGCAATCTGAAAAATTTAGTGTTTTTTAAAATTATTATTCAGTTTTCAGAAACTTAATGAAATTTGTAATAAAATAAATACCTCGCAAAATATCAACGTATTTCTGGTATTTGTTTTTCTCATTTGCGCCTTTGCCCAAAAAGTTCGGACAATTTTTACATATCTTAAGAATTAGTTCAAAAACTAAAATGAAATGGTGATCTCTCAGACTTTTCATACTCTTTACTTTACGATCCTTAACAAAAATTGATTTAACTTGTTTGACGAAACGCCCTGGGGCATTTTCATCAATTTCATCTAAATTTTTATTAAATTGTTTCATCAAAAGAGGTAGGAGTCTATCTAATCTAGAAGAAAAGTCATTTTTTTCCGTTTGGACGAACATTCCACAAACTTGAACTGCTAGTCTTCTGAACCTCAGTTTTTCTTCTTCCATCCAAAGACAAGTGAAATTAAAAAGTTTGCTTTTCAGATTATGTGAGATACGGTTTATTAATTCTCTTATGCACTTGGCTACGTTTTTCTGACAAGTCTGATCTTCTTCATTGACCAATCTTGGAGCAAGTAAACAGAAAAGTTCTTCTGCAAATTCTTCAAGTTTTTGCTAAAAATAAAATAAATATTTAAATTTACTATTCATTTCATTTTAGAAACGCCTTATCAATCAATAAAATATATGAACTCACCTGTGGAAAGGTAGTAATGATTTCATATGCCATTGTTATTACACTCATGCGACCAAAAGCCTCCGAGAATTCAAGATTCCTGAAGAAGAAATTTATACGACTTTCTAAGTTCTCTTTATCCACAGGATAATCCATTAAATAGGTGTAACAAGCATTTCGAGCTCTTTTCCGCACATCTTCTGATTTTGAAGTAACAATAAGTTTTGACACTTCTTCCATAACTTCATGCATTTGGGGAACTATAAGTTTTCGCTTTATAATAGCTTTTAGTAAATCAAACCCTGTTGCTCTTCGTTCATGATCATGTATATCTTTTTCAACATATTGTAATAAAATCTAAAAAAATATGTAATGTAATTAAAAATAATCTGTTAACATTGATTAAGAATTATGTAAAAAATAAAAAAGTACCTTTAACTGTTCTGGAGTAAGTTTAAAATGTTTAGCATCTTTTACTAGAATAGACATGGCCTTGAAAGCAGTCATCACGAGATCGAAATTGACACCTTTACCAAGACCTGATACCGCATATTTGTGCAGAATCTTAAACATTGATTCACAAATTTCCGTTGAAAACTTTCGAACGTTCGGTAAATCAGTCGCCACAACATGACATAGACAACGCAATGCTAATGTACTCAACTGAAAAAATTGCATAGAATTAATAACATTTTCAAAAGAACGTTACATGCTTTGACACGTTGTAAACATACCTCTACATGTTGTGATTCTAAACAACGACTCAAAAATGGCACGAATCCATCAAGTTGCTTTTTCGAATCCTGATCATTGAGCTTATTTTGTTTCAATAATAAACTCAAAATCCTCAGTCCAAATTCCATGATCACGTTTGCATTGGTGTCTTCGGAAATTTTCGATTTGGTCTTGATACCCATTCTCGTTTTAGGTGGTGGCTGAATAATCAGTGAAAGTGTACGATCTTCGTCAGTAAGGAATTTCGATTTCGCTTGTTTATCCTCGTTGTTTTTTTTACGTTTAGAGTCTGGCATAATCTCCGGTATAGTTTCGTTTACTACGCCTTGAAGAAAACTCAATAAATTTGTAAGGGGTATAAAAGTGTTACGTGCAAGTCCCTTTCCAATTTCTTGTAAGGATGTAGTAGCCTTGCGAATGGTTTTTGATGAATTCGTGCGTAAAACATCGCGTAAAGGTTGAATTAAAGGAACCAACGAGTCTGCAAATACAAAGAGCAAAAAAATATAGTATTTTACATATTATAAAGCTTTAAAAGTATTGTTTTTTGATCTTGAAAAAAATTATACCTGCACCAGTGAATTGGCCCATAATTTTGTAAATATCATAACTCTTAGTGGCTTTAGCTTCTGAAGTATTTTTTATGATTCCAGAAATCTCTTTCTCTTCGGCCGATGGCCCGAATAAATCTATCTTACACACACTATGTAACAATGCCATATTTGCCTTAATATGCTTAGGCTCAAGTGAAGGCTCTAATTTGATTAAAACTGCATGAACAGTAACAGCTAAAACGTGAACTTGGAATCCACGAGTCAACAAACTGTTCATTTCTACAAGTAAATGATGTAAATAGTCGGGTCCAAGAGTAATCATGATTTCCTCTAAAATTTTTCGAGTGTCCCTACGCACCGATTCAAGACGAGATTTCAAGAAGGTACAAACTTTCATAAATATTCTGAAAAAATACATTAGATCATTAATAAAAAGTACAATATCGTTATGTAATTATTAGAACATTTTTTTCAAAAACTCACCCTCGCACATTTGTATCGAGTATATTGCTCGGGAGCTTCTGTAGCAATTTGACCATAGCTAAAGCAATGGGTACTCGTTGCAAATCACGTTCCTCCTGATCATCACGTACAATCTTTTTGTTGACTTTGTGGGCCCCATCTAAACGGGCTCGTACGGTGATACTTCGGTGCAATTGAGGCAGTAACACAGTGGAAATACTCTGCACGAGTCGCCTCGCCATATATTGTGATAGGACTGTTTGTCTTTCTACAATAGGTATTTCTTGAACAATAGGGACTTCTTCCGTGTCTGGTTCAGCATTTTCATTTTCTTCGGCATTTTCATTTTCTGCCGATTCATCAACATCTTCAACATTGGGAACATCTTCAGTTTCATTTTCGACATTTTCGAATTTTGAGTCATCTTCAACGCTCTCATCGTCGTCATTCTCGTTGTTATCCTCAACGGCTTCATTGACTTCTTTATATTTTGACAGATCGAAATGGAAAGCGTCTAAAATCGCTACCACTATTCTAATGACTTGTTTTTGGTGTTCCATATTGTTTCGCAACTTGAACAAGTAGTACTTGAGTACGAATTCATACTGATTCCATGGCAACAATCTGCATACGGTACCGACGGTGTCAATAGCTGCGGTGATAGTATTATGGCCATCCTTGTTTGCATATTTTTCATTGCACAGATAATAAGATGCAAGAGGCAAAATGAATTGCGAAAGTGTTCTCGGATTTGGAGCTCTAGTGAGGGTTTTTGCGACGCTACAGAACTTTAATAGAGCGCGACCATGACGATGGCGCTGTATGTGTCCAATATTGTTAAAGAAATCCACTTCTGGATCTACCTTGTTTGTTAAGGCGTGGAGATCGCGTAATACTACATGCACATCTGGACACTCCATGGCCATATGCCCTAAATAGGCTATGGACTGCAACTTTACCTTGTCACGTTTATCCTTTATTCCATTGCGAATCAAGTTCAATATAGTATCTTCTACGAGGTATCTTCTGTCGCTCGGTACAGCATTGAACTTTTTGCACAAATAAACACTTATGTATTTCAAGCATTCGCTAGCTCGATCTTCCATAGATTGTTCATTTTCAGTTTTTAAAAAGTAGTAGCAATTTAAAATAATAGATACACCAAAATCAACGGTTACTTTTTCTTCCCTGATCAAGCTGTCGATCTGTTGAAATGCGTTTAATCTCCGATCATAATCAGCTTGTTCGATCCAACGCCGATCATAAGCATTCAGTTCTACCAAAAGCCTATGATTATTTTGTAAATCTTCGTTATTTCGAGCAACTTCTTCTAGAACTTGCATCAATAATTTTCTCGCTTGTGGCGTAGTTAAAAGAGCCAAAAGTTGTTGAACGGGTCGCAAATATATTGCAGGATTATTAACACGCTTCATTAAGTTAGCAACTGCTGTTAAAAATCCCATAACAACGTCTTCGGAATCACCAGATTTTTTCGTGAGAATCGGTAATGTCAAAGTGAGCAATGTATCACTGGTTTCAGGATCAGTAGCAAATTCCGTAATTGACGATAGAACGGTTAATTCCGTGCGATTTGCTCCATGTTTCTTCTGTTCTCTCAATTTCTTTACCAAAAAAGCCAATATTTTACTTACGTGAGGAAGTAACATGGCAGAACCATAATTAATTGTATCATCTCTAACAATTTCTACTTTTCCAGTAACAACATCAAAAAGAGATTTAGCTTTTATCGTGTCATCGACATCCATTGCTTCTGGATCCTCTTTTTCAAAGTCTAGTGTAGTTAGTAACTTTTCAATAATTTCCATAATCATTCTGAGCACAGACTTCTCAGTTTTTTCATTGGATAATAGTTCTATTACAAAGTTGATTGGTGTTTGATTGTTCTGCAAATAAATAAATCAAATTGTATTATTGAGTTATAATTGACGATAATATGTGTTATAAAAGATTTACAACTACTAAGCTTACCTTATTTAATTTCACAAAAAGAGGATAATAACGAGGATTTTTACTCCAAATGTCAAACATTTTCAATAAAGGAGTCGGACTATGAATGCCTTCAATTGGCAGTTTATTTAACCAAGGGAATACAGCTGTTTCAAATACAGCATCAATTTCATCACTTGTCCAGTCATAATATTCGAAATGTTGGAAGAATCTAGCAAGCACATTAATTCCAGTGTTCCTAACATTTTTGATCATTTTCAAAAAATCAGGATGTACATCATTAACTAAATCAAGTATACCAACAGTTTGAGCAAGAATGCACACAAGTATTGACAGTAAATGTGGAAGTACATGTTTTGTCATTTTTCCACCAAACTGCTCTATCATTGTTGATATTAGATTCATAGCACTTTGAAGACGTTTTGGTGGAATGACGTTGTCAAGATCAACATTGGGAATGAGTTCTCTAATCATTGCACATAATTTAACATCGTTCTGAGATTCTTTTTCAACTTTAAGAATTGGTAAGTAGTTTTCAAAAGGTTTAAAGGCCATGCGAATGAATACCATCATTTCTTCTTCTTTTATACCTGCCAAAAATCTGTAAAGAATAAATTTAAGATAAATATAAATAATAAAAGAATAAATTTAAGTTGTAACAGATAAAAAATAATTAAAATAAAAAAATGAAAAAAAAAGATTTTTCGTACCTTAAAATGGTTTTTCTTTTAACAAGTCCACCTGCTTTACCACCAGTACGCATTCCAACACGTTGACTCATTTTAGTATGAAGGATTCTCATTAATATGGGCATCAACCCCTCTCTATGTTCCTCTTGAATTTCAGATTGTTCAACGCTTATTTGAAATCTCACTAGCTCATTTTTAAGATTTTGTTCATTTACAATATTGTCCAATTGTATTTGGTAAGGAACTATATATTTGTGCTTGTAAGTATAAATACAGTTTAAAGCAGCTTTTTGAATTTCCAAGTCTTTGGAAGTTAGAAAATGGTGGTAAATGCTACAAATTTCCGGTTCACGTGACAGCGATCGAGTATTTGTAAATTTGCCAAAAACTTGAAGCATTGTAACAAGAAGTTGGACTCGTTCACGACGAGTTGATTCTGTAGATGTTTCATCATCAAAGCTCTTTTTATCAGACAATTTTTTGTTAGATTCATCTGTTTTATAAATTCTAATGGAACAAGATTTTGCTTCCTCTGAGTATGCACGATAAAAGTTTTTTTCAACAAAATCTATAAAAATATCAACATAATCTCGATTTTTTGGTTCTATGTACGTGGTCATCATACCCATACACTTCCATAACAGATATCGAACATTCTCTAGGTCAATTTTATCACTTGTGTAAACTTTGCTAACAGTATCATTTAATATTTCATTTCCATAACTTGGTTTGCAAACTTTATCTACTTCATCTTTCTCAGCATTTATACTTCTTAATTTAGAAATAAAAATTGGCCAAAATACTTTGCAATCTGGGTTGGCATATGATGTTATTATCTGACACATTGGATCCCAAATAAGACGGAAGTTCAAATACAGACTGCCAAAACAATGGTGTATAGGGATATCTTGATATTTAGCTTCAAGGTGAATAACTGAAGCACTGTTAGAATTAAGAGACTGAGAGTATACAAGACGTTGGCGATATTGGTGGACTGTAACTGGTTGACATTCAGCTAAGTAAGGTAATTCCAAAGCTGATTTTGATAGATTTTCTTCAGAAGTAGGAGGCTTCATTGTTGGAATTGAAGCAAACAGTGAAAAAATATGTGACACAGTTAGACGTATTAATGAATTTGATGATCCTGTAATAAAATAAATTTTATAAGAATAAAAAATAAAAATTTAATATGTATGAAATATTTTATCAGTTTAAAGTCATGCTCACCTAATTTTGAAACTAAAGCTTGATGAATGTGATCAAATACGGACAGATTAATATATTCATTTTCACAACTAGAATTTTTCATATAACTCAATAGCATATCTAAAGATTTCAAAACTGCTGTATCATTTTGATAAAAACACAATGTATCTAAAAGGTTCGGAAGATTTTGGATTAAATCGAATAATTTATCCGAACTCGCTATTCGCAATACAGACTCCATGGCAAGTAGAAATGCAAAATTATTTCCATCTGTACTATTTTCTTTCTGTTGAATTCTTTTGTATAAATTCATCAAGCTCTTTGTAACTGCATTATATATTTCATCTGATAAAGTAGACAGATGTGGAATAATATATAAAACTTTTAAGAAATCTTCATTAACTGAACTAATCTCTTCAAAAGTATTCAAAATATTAGCTAGATAAGTATAATTTTCTTTGCCCTGAATATTAAGATTGAACTTATTCCACTTTTCAAATTCAATCCCACCAAGTTTTGGTGGAGATTTGAACATAATTATATTCACAAAAAGATCCAATAAATCATTGTTCAAAATTGAAAATTGACTTTTCTTCAAAACTCTTGGTAAAACCATTGTCTCAAAAGATGAATATGGAATCAAGTCACGAGTAATTTTTATCAAACAATTTTGATCTTCAATGGATAACAGCTTTATTACCAAGAAACTAGAACTTTCTTGTTGTAATTTTTTTATGGCTAAGAGTGTGTCAATTGACACATCAACTATTTCAGCAATTAATTCATTATTATTTTGATACTTCTGAATGAGTTGTCCTAATTTTAATGCCCATGCTGCTGGATCTTTAACCATTTCTTCTTTATTTTTAATAATGATTTTAATGAGTTTTAGTAATAATTTCAAATTATTTCCTTCAAATTTATCCAGATACTTTAAAATAACTGTCCATAACACTTCACTTTTTTGGAAATGAATTTCTTTTGTGATGCAGTTGAAAACAGTTGTAAGTACTTGGAAATGTAATTGTTGATGTGAAGGTGTATTTTCAAGGGCATCAAAATAAATACTTAACATGGTTTCGGCACATGAGTGAAAATGTCCAGGAGTACCTACTAAAACATGATAAAATAATTTTCCACATCCAACAACTTTATTTTGTTGTTCTTCTAGAGCTTCAATAACTAATTGAAGAAATGCAGGTTTATCTTTAACTTTTCTTACTACAAAAGCAAAACCTTCAGCAGCAAAATTGTTGATATAAGCTGGGTATGATTCTGCCAGTAAAGGAACCAGTAAATAGAAGATTTTGTCAATATTTTTGATCATGTAACGCCATTGGTATTTAAAGAGATATGCAAGAGTTCTAAAAGTATATTCGAGCTGATCAGCATCTTTGACATTTAATAAATCTATAATCGCTGCCAAAAAATCTGGAAAGTATGGATAAAACTCGTCTTCTAAATCTTTAGCAACAGCAAGTAGTATTCTGTAAGATGATAAATATATGTTAAACAATTTATAAAATGTATCTCGGATACTTTTAATGAAATTGTAAAAGAAAATCTTATTAGTTATTATTTGCTTACCTAAAAATACTTTCCAAACACAATGGATCTTTTAACTTTAAATACTTCAATAAAGTATTTATAACGTGTTCTTTACAAACAAGAAGTTGTGGAAGAGTAACTATGTGCGAAACTTCTTTACGAAAATTCAAATAATTTTCAGCAAGATTGAGAAAGTTTTCCTCTTGGACTTGCTGGTAGAAATATGATTCAACCTTATCAGGAACCTCTTCATTGCGATGCTTGACTTTATGAAAAATATTGACATCTATGTCATGGACCCTTTTGGAGAACGGTACGAACCGATGGGCCGTATCTACTTCCACTTTAGGCATGTTGAAAAATATTTTTTACACACAGTATAGTGAAGAGATTAGGGCCACGTGCTCTCGCAGGCCAGCTGATGCGGCACTGCCGACTAGAATATGAGCGGCAGATTATCAATAACTTTGTCCTTTTTTGATTAATGAACTAACGAATTTTGAAGAGTAAATCAAAATTGTTTACTTCACTCGAAGCCTAAACTAGGCCGAGTCGTAAAATACTGTTTATGTCACTTGTAACTTAGCCCACAAAACTTTTTTATTCACTCGCATTTTTCACGCACGTGTTTCAGAGAGCAGTAAGCGTTAGCGGTGTACTTGCACGAACATGTCTAGCCATAAGCAAACATAGCAGTCGGTTTTAACTAGCGCCACTGCTGCTGGTGTGTCGTTGGCGAAGCGGTAAATTCAAACTAGAATTTAATAAATGCTTCCTATTATAAATTGCGCTCGATGCGATTTTGTGCATTTTTTTAAGAGCAGTAGTGCTCTACAGTAGTGCTCTAAATGCAGATTAATTTTATAAATGATTATTATTAATTAAAGACCTCTGAAATTAATATTTAAATTTTTATGAGCTCTTCGTAATTCATGTAATAACAACTATCAATTTTATAGAGTGAATGTAAAAGCAGATTTTTAAACAATTTTTCACTCTTTTTTTTATTAATGCCAAATCACTTGATAATAATTTTTAAGTACATATCGATTCTAACGAGGAAAAAGGTAAAATGTTCTAAAAATATAAACTACCGTGAAAAATGTAATTCATTTTTCAAGGCAGGATTTCTTATCCATGAAAATTTCTTGGAAGGAGTGTACCTATGTGCGGAGGTCCTCAAGGAAAGAAGAGAAAGGGATCAATAAAATGTATTATAAATGTGTTGTATATGAGCAATTCTATAAAAAAAACGTAAAATTCAAGGCTAGAATAGCGATGAATATTTTTGTTATTTGACGCATATAATGGACGGTGTTCATTGTTCACAAAGGTCCTAGAAACATGAGAAAACACAGAGACATTTGACTTTTTGATAGGTATTTTGTCTATAGCTATTTTTGTTCTACAGAGTAAGAGCTGCGTTGAAAATGATAAGTTCGAAAAACTACAAAGAAAAACTGGCGAAGCCCATAGAGTAGTGTTCATTTTGATTTTTACGTCATGCGTTATGCGTTACATTCATGACCTCCAAGTTTTCCCGACAAGCGGTGTTTTTTCTAAATATAGAATGTTGATAGTAAAAAAAAAAAGTAAGGATAGAGTTCGATGGGAGTAATTCAATATTTTGTTTTAGGTTTCGATGAATTAGATGTTATTAGTAATTCGATTTTATCCAAGTAACGTCAGTAAAGGAAATTTTATTAAAAATATAATGGTGCATGTTATTTTTTTTTTATTTAAAAATTTACAACTCAATCGTTTCATTGTGAGTTTAAAAAAATTGAAGCATAGATTTTCAAGTTTTTATGTTATAATTCCAATAAATTTTAAAAACGAAAAATACTAGTTATTGATAACACCGTAAGCCAATAAATAGAATTTTTTTTGGTCTAATTTTTATTTAAATGATTTTAATTGAAAATATTGTTAAAGTTTACTGGTAATTTCAATGGTGCAACGATTTATTAAAATAAAGATGTCTGGATTGATGAATATAAAACTAGTTAACTTTTGATAGTACGGGCATTGCGTAAAAATAAAAGAAATTTATGCAAAACAAATCAGTTTTTTATTTACAGTCTTTCTTGCACTGCAAAAATTTTATTTGACTTTATAAAACATGACGCGCATATGACACATGGTAACTTTGGAACGAACATTTACTGCACAAAACTTGAAAATTCAGCCAAGGTCAGTTGCAGAACATGACAGCACGATGGACTCGCGTCAAATAATGATCATTAATCTCTCTCTCTTTCCCTCTCAATAGTGAGAGTAGCCAGTGGCGATCGGAGCAGCGGCATAAGTCTTGGCAGCGTAAGCTGGTGCGGCAGCAGAAGCCGCGGGAGCGAAGGACTTGATGGCCAACGGAGCGGCATGAGAATAGGCCAGAGGTGCCGGGGCGAACGATCTCAGGGCAACAGCAGGCTGAGCATAGGTGGCGAGTTTGGCCACGGGTGCGATCTGGGCCTGGGCAATGAGAGGCGTGCCCTCCTTGCGGACGACGGCGTTGAATCCGTTGTGGTCGTCGGCGGTGTACTCGACGATGCGTCTGGTGCCGTCGGCCTCGAGGAGGGAGTAGCTGCCGCGGACCTGGTCGCCGCTGCGGCTCTCCTGTTGGCTCTTGTAGTCGCCGGTGTTGGGGTCCTGCACGTCGTAGCCGTAGTTGTACTGCGGGTTCGGGTCGTAGGGCTCGGCCTCGATTTGCCTGGTGGCGTAGACCAGAGGTGCTGCCGGTGCCGCGTAAGCCAAGCGAGACGCCGGGTAGACTGCAGGCGCTGGTTGGATCAAGCCGCCGCTCACGGTGGCTACCGCCAAAGCGCAAACGAATAATACCTGCCGATCAGCGATATTATTATTGATTTTTTCTTACTGACTCGCAGTGATTTGAAAGCATTTTTTTTAAATTCGAGCTTTAGAATTACCTTGCTGACAACCATGATGTTGATCGACTGGATGATTCCGACTTTCTACGAGTGCAAATTGACCAGTGAATTCGCGACAAGTGAGCGACTCGAATTGATGCAGGTCCTAGCTGCATCCGGTGCTTTTATATGTTGGAAACCTCCGAGAGTCAAACGCTCTTTTTGCTGCTCAAATCGTTTGGGGCAAGGACGTTCTGTCGCTTGCGACGCCCGTTGCCGCTTGTGCAGTTCAAAAATTGGACCGGCATTTTCGAACGCGTGCATTTAATAAGCCGCCAAAATGGGTGGAGTCCTCTCGGCTGGCCTTGCCATTACGATTGTACTTGCGCGTTGATCTGCTTTTTTTGCTATATTATGGTTTCAGGCGCTAAACGATATGGATCAAAAATCATGCTCGTGTAATATGCACCGCGGCCGTAGCAGTAACGGACGAGCCAGCCACGTGCATTACAAATTTATGATATGCAATGATCGATTGGCTTTGCCTCGGCTTGTCCAACTGCCACGATGTCTTGGAATTTTCGTAATGTTTGCTTTTACAACGATACGCGCACCAATGCCAATTTTGCGTAATTGATTAACATTGAATTTAATGAGAGTCCGATCGTATTCATAATTGTTTGGGTAAAATTTTCACGTCCGAGATAGAAAGGACTCGCGAGGCTGAAAAGGTATCATTAAATTTGATTTCTGCGAGGTCCTATAAATTTGAATTTTCAACTTTTTTTCACATTTTAATTGATTTTGTTGTCACTTAAATAGCTATTGCAAGGATGTTTTGGATAATATCATTGCAAAACTTTACAATTCATCGATTTGTAATATGATGATATAAAAATTAAAAATTAACTGCAAGCTAGTTGACACACGTTATCCATATCGTATAAATAGTTTTTTACGATCTACCGAAAGTTATCTAATTATTATCCCCGAGGTCGGATCAATTTATATTTCCAAAAAAAATCAATGAAACGTGAAACTTGCATCACAGATAAAATACTTAAAATTATTCGAGCTTTTATTATCAATATCTTCAAATTGAAAGGGCATTGCAAGTATATAGAAGTAAGCTCAGAATTATTATTTTTAAACTTTGTTTATTATATAAAAATGAATATTTTTGGACAGATAGAGGTTCAAATATTAGTAAAATTGAATAAAGTCAAGGTTTTTTAAAAGAACATGCGTTATTCTAAACCACAATATTTTCGGGCAACATATTGTGTCGTTCAGTTCATTCAAAGTAACAATTTAATCGTTTTGGCGCGTGCAGGAGAATTTTAAGAATTTTTTTTTCCTTTTTGTTTCTCAAGGTTATCTATGTACTTTGAAAGTCAGCGCGAGTCGTAAGGGTTACTTGGGGCTTACATCAACTACGTACATGTATGCCGTAAATACGTACCAATTATATCTTTACTTGCAGTGGTGCAAAAAGTTCGAGATGCTATCGTCACAGAGACTCGTATATCAAAGTAAAAGTAAAAATATTTAAAGTAAAAATATGCCTATGTATGTACTTGAGTATCGATAATTATTATTCGATATCTCTCTTAAAAATGACCGTATGTAATTGTTTTGCCGTGAAACTGCAACGTACGCCCAAGCCCCTTTCGGCATGGCACCTTCAATAATAAAGACCGTAAAAATGAATTCATCAGATAGGCGATTTCTCATAGAGGGCGCGGAATTTATACATCACGCGTTCGTAATTTCTTCTCGCGCTTCTCCGAGCCGGCCGCGCATGATTGGTGGCTTCAACCTGTTTATGCATACGCGAGCATGCGCCGCGTATACGCACTCCTAAATTAAAGAAAAGAGAAAGAATGTTAACTATAACGATGTAAGAGAGAAAAAAAAATCGACGAACAAGCGTCGGCGCGCGGTTTCGTGTTCCGGAACCTGCGCGCGCGAGACTCGGCAGTCGGAGCACTACAAGCCATAAAGTGGCTTTAGCCAAGGTCGCGACTTTGAAAGGCCGCGCGAGCGCGCGCGACTGTTATCCATCAAGGCTAAAGAAATTCTCCTACGCCCATGTCAATTCCCACCTGCGTTCGGACAATTCATTCGTTTGTTTTGTAGAATCCTCCTTACGCGCCCTGCTCCTTTTGTTCTATAAGCAAAGTCTGCTTAATAAATCATTCGGACTTGCAAAAGCTACGCAGTAATTTTGCCATGGAATTTCTGACTTTATGGTGCGTAAATAAAATACAACGAGTACCATAAAACAAATATCTTTATAAGTTTTGCAGTTTTCTCCGTTTATTTAAAATAATAATACATTCAACAAATAGAATTTATAAAAAAAAATATCACGTTTTACTAACCAATAGACGAGGAAACAAATTGAACGCCCACTGTTACATTATTGGTAAAAAAATGTTTCAATTGTTTACTCTCAATTCAATTTTATGATTTTGGAATTAAAACGATTAGGAAAAAATGTGTTCGTAAAATTTAACTTAAACATTGATTTTTGTCCTGGATAATTTCAATATTTGCCAAAAAACAAAATTATTCTTTAAAAATGGTATGCTATACACAGTAACTATTGGATTGTACTATGGACATCCTTTGTTAAAGGAAGAATTTACAATTAAAAATTTCATGGACGATGATCGAGTGAAAGGGACATTGTATTATAATGACTGGGTCGTTTTATTCGCACGACGAAGTAAACTTATACTGTACACGCCTCAATGCGAAATTGCAGGATATAGATCGCGATATATATGGTCGTGCACATCGACACTTATCTTACGAGTGGCATTTATGAAGCAGTCTCGATTTTCAACATGAAAATTCAATTACTGTTCACGGGCTCAACGATCAATTCTTGGCGGCGCTCGAACGTAGTGTCCGTAACGTACTTTTTTTTATAGAGAATGACAAGTGGATTTGATTGCAAGAGGCCCAGTCAGTAAATAATAGAAAATCAAATGTTTCTGCCTACCTTTTTTGAAACAAAAATTGCTAAAATTTTATCGAGTCATCTTCGCATGTGTATAATCATATTTTTTTCATAAAATTTTATTGTAATAGTATAGATTTTTAGTTACACCACCTTAATTTAATTTTGCTACAACATAGTGGAGTTTTGTGGTCACAAACACTTTTTTTTGCTGTAATCAAGTTAATTACTCATTTTGTGTACTCGAAACAATGCAACAGATAAATGATTAGAACCATGTTGCAACGAATCATCAACTATCAAATATAAATTTAAACTTTGAATGAAAGTTTTAAGAAATAAGTCATACGCATTTATGACATATATAAATCATAATAGAAGCGCATAGTTGATTATTTTCACGAATGCGTAGCCACCATCGTAAATAAGATGCGAGCGCCATATAGCATTACAGCGTTATATTGCCCAGGGTTGCCTCTTAGGACTTGTCCTTTAAAATAATTATTTTCGAATGTTTCTGGCTCGAGATGAAGCTCGGTTTTTTTCGCACGGCAAGCTCAGACCTGCCGTGGCTCGGCATTAATGCAGGAGAAAAATAGTAGCATTATGGTAGCTGTGGTTAGCAACGTTTTCGCGTTGCCCATAAATCACGGCGTCGCGCGCGCGCGCTCTGGGACCGCGCGCGACTGCAGCAGTACTGAGGACAAAGGCCGCATCAATCGTGCGTTGTTTTTTTTACATGCGGGTAGATTTTTTTTTCTCGCTTTTCAGGGGAATGCACCTTTCACCCTCGTGAAGGTGAGCCGATTCATCGGCCGGCGCGCGCGCGGCATCGTTCCCCGACAGGGTGAAAGGATCCGCGTCTCCGAGCGTGCATCCGGCCAAGTTCAAGAACTTTCGAGCGTCCCACAGGCTTTTTGAACTAGTGGCGGTTGCACCGCGCTGCAAGGGTGTTAGGGTGGGGCTCATCGCAAATGACTCGAAGCATTTGCCAGCTCGCGACTCGCAGCTATATAAGAGCCCGGCGAGAAAAGCTTGAACATCATTGTGACTTCGAACGATCTTACCGATCTACCGATCTCTACCAAGCATCCCCGCTCAGCAATGGCTCTCAAGGTGTGTGCGAATAGTTTCATACAGTGAATTTGTGACAATCAATATCTATATTATTTTTCGTGTACCGAGTAGTTTTCTACAGCAGAATTCTAAATTTTCAGTTTGTCGTTCTCTCCGCTCTGGTGGCGTACGCCCAGGCTGGTCTCTTGCCGGCGGCACCTCTGGCTGCCCTGCCCGCGGCACCGATCGCCTACGCCGCCGCTCCGATCGCCAAGCAGGTGATCACCAGAGTGTCCGACGCCGAGTACGACCCCCATCCCCAGTACTCGTTCAACTACGACGTCCAGGACAGCATCACCGGTGACTTCAAGGCCCAGTCCGAGACCCGCGACGGAGACGTCGTCCGCGGCAGCTACTCCCTCCTCGAGTCCGACGGCACCAGACGCATCGTCGACTACACCGCCGACGACGTCAACGGATTCAACGCCGTCGTCCGCAAGGAGCCCGCCGCCATCGCCCTCAAGGCCGCCCTTCCAGTGGCCCCCGTAGCCGCCGTAGCCCCAGTGGCCAAGATCGCCGCCGCGCCTCTGGCCTATGCCGCCCCGGCACCCGCCTACGCGTACGCCGCCCCCATCGCCAAGTTCGCCGCTCCAGCTCTGCCTTTGGCCGCCGCACCGGCTTACCCCTACGCAGCTGGCCCAGCCTTCTACAAGAGCTACTACTACTAGATGCTAAGGCAAGGAAGTATTGCGGATGTTCAAGTATCTGGCCGCGGCAAGACGTCACGTTCTAGTGGACAATCATGCGGACACTTCGGTTACCAGTTCTGCTGACGCCATAGCCATCGTCACCGTTGAAATTTTTATTATGTTTTAATGATGATTTTTCACAATCCAATATTGTTTACCTGACTGTTCAATTCACCAACAACTGTTGTCGGCCTGGGTCAATAAATTTGTTTTTTAATACTCAACAAACAATTGTAATTATTTTTTCAAACTTTGAACCATCTCCTAAGTATTTTCTTTAAAAAGTCATGACACCCTGAATGAATCTTCATTTCATTTCCAAAACATTATTTTAAATTTCATTAATTAAAAATAATTCACACCTTTTTTAGCCATTATCACGTAATTTTTCAATTCTCATGAAAGTCAGTAAACGTGTCACAAAATTTTCTGTTTAAATTTCAAAACCACCTTCAGATATCACACTACTGAGAGAGCAATATTTTTATATTACTATTGCTAACTGAGCCAATTATATTGAATTTTTTTAATAATCTTTTTTTATCAATTTACGTTTATTCTATTTTTATTCGATTTCTGAACGATTACAACAACAAAATCTCAAATTACCAAAACAGTGTGAGTACCACTAAAAAACTTTATTTTATCATTAGGAACAAAAAATAAGTTAGTTTGAGTAACATTTTTTTATATGTTTCGCTAATTTTCCTAAAATTTATGAAAACAGAACTTGAAAAAAAATCGTTAATTTTAAGTGAAATATCTACTGATTGGTAACTTTTAAAAGAATAGAACAATTGAAATTCAACTAATAGGATAATGCTTCATAGTTGTTTATAAATGTCGTACAAAAATTAAAAATATTTAAATATCTCTGACCAATCTCATTTCGATAATACCCCAATTTTTTTCTACGCTTCTCAAAATTTTTTTGTTATTATAACTCTTACTTTTTCTGGATGAAAAGAACCAGATTTAGGTACCCTGACTCCATGCTATCTTACATACACGCATGTATGTCTCGTGGTGATCACGAATTATACAGAAACTTAAAGTGCAGCAAGGTAAACGGCCTATATACAGGATGATGTCCCTAAAATATAGGAATACAGGTCACTCGTGTAGGCTCAAAAGAAGTTTTCATAAATGGTACCTTCTAAAAGCAGACATTTAATAGAACCCTGCGTATCCTAAAATTTCAATAAAAATTTTAATAAATCCATTCATAAGTATGCAAAGCTTAAAAGCACATAAAATGTTCTGAATTTAGTGGAGAAATTTCGAACATTATGTCTATTTTTTTTTTTTTTTTAAGAAATCACTCATATTAAGATATTTTTTTATTTAGCACTTTAAAATCAATTTTTAATTATACGATACATAATGGTATCACGTAAAATAAATGTAGAAAAACATTCGATAAAAGAAAAGTTTAAACATACATACGATCTTAATATTTTTTAGTTTTATATTTAAGCAGAACTGTTTGAGTATAAGTTTAAGCTATTACAAGTACACGTATGCGTAAGGGAAAAATTGTACAGAAAACTATGCGAACACAAAAAATGTTATTGAATAGAAACAATCAAGATGATTTAACAGAAGTTAAATCTTAGTCCAAGCTTAGTCTTACCTAAAGCAATAAGGCACTATAATTTTCTAAGTTTATGTTATGTTTTGTCATTCGAAAATACCCCTCTCCACCCAAAAAAAACTGTTCATAAATGACAAAACGATGTGCAACCCCCCCCCCCCCCCCCCCNTCCCTCCCGCCTCTCCTCCGGATGAACGGTCGAGGTAGAGATTATTTTTAGCATTTTCAAAAATATACAACTTTTATCTTTTGTAAATTTTATAATAATCTATAATATTTATAACGGTGAAAGTTAAACTTAAGAAATAAAATCACAAATCAAAATCAGTTTTATGATTTCTTTTGTACGCAAATTGATCTATGGTACTTTTATCATTTATTTGTATTTATTACAATCAACGTTTCTCAAGACCAAGCCATCTTCGCTCATAGTTATCATTTTCAAAGAGAAAAAGTTTCTTTTTGCACTACACACTGAAAAAATCTCACGGGTGAATCCAGCAAAATAATTTTTTAAACTTTAACAGCTAAATACAGCTCAATATAATTTTGCTGTGGCAGCAAAATATCTTTTTTTGATCCAGTTCTCCTCTTTTACTGGATTTACACCTAAAATTTTTTTCAGTGCAGGAACCAATCGGAATGTGAATACCATGTGTAATGTGCAAATTGCTACAATTCGAGAATTTATGAATAACAACATCCCCAATTTTCGTTTACGCTTTACATTAAAAATGGAAATTTGTATCTCTCATATTCTTCCGTAAGCATGCAATGGCTGAAATGAAACTTGATTGAAATGTTCTGCATAGAGCTTGTGAAATGCCCCGGGTGCTCATGTTTTTCTCGATAATTCAACACAAAATTATTAATAATCATTAGCGATTGGCTAGGTGTTACTGCTCATCTTCATACCAACCGATGAATGTTACGCACATGTTGCGCGTGACATTATTTATTATAAACTAATAGTTTTTGTTGAAACCCTTGAATTGATAAGTGAACTTCTGTTCGTCACAATCAAATTCAATTTATTTTTAATCAGTTTTGCTCCTATCGAATCCCTGCCAATCTTCAACCATTTAAAACGTTTCAAAAGTGCTTTTGCTAATTAAGGTGACATATATAACTTAACTTAACATTTTTTTTATTAAATCATAGGTCACTATCAAAGAGTACTTTTATGATTTAAATGTTGGCAAATAAAGTAACATAAAAAAAATATGTGTAATACATGCAGAGCACTCTACGTGTTCGTTCATCCCTAAAGTACTTGTGTCTATAAGTATCGATGTTCTAAAGAAGTGTACACAACCCTGGTGCAGAAGCTCAATCGGTGCCCTCTGAAAATTACGACAGAAGACTAAAAACATAATTTTTCATAAAACGCAAAATACGGAAAAATTGAACACGAAAAAGGATCACGGAAACAGCTGTATCTCAGTAAAAAATCAACATTTTGTAATGGAATATAAAGGAACAATCTTACTCAAAAATCAAAAATTTTGAATTGAAAGTGTATGTGTCCCTTTTTATCAATTTTTTTATATGAGTTATTTGATAATTATTTATTTTGGATGTAAAAGAAGAAAATCTTCAAATGACCTCATTTACTAAAAAAACTGGTTAGAGATTTCAAAATGATTCAGGGCATTGTTGTGTAAAAGGTATTCGGTTTCTCTTCGCAAAAAACAGGTGAAATTGATGAGTTAATATTCTTATTCAATTTTTATTTCCGTAATAATGAAAAATTGAATAATTTCAACGTATTTTGAAAAGAAAAGATTGTTTGCAAAATTAAATGATTTTATTTGATATAATTCAAAATTTTTGAACTCTAACGTAATGAAAGTTGTGATAATTAATTCTCACAGATTTCATTAACGAGCTAATTTGTCTCTCGCGATCAATATATTGAAAGAATCAGAACAATAAACATTGTTCAAATACTTACTATAAATTTAGAACTATATTATCAAAGAAATGTTCATACTAGAGAGCCACTAATCTTACTCAAAATCTTAGGGCACGCATCAGTAAACAAATAAAAATGACTCCACTTTTTTCAATTTACAAATTATTATGTATGACAAAATACCAAAGCTCACGCAACGGCCGATTGCACCGGCATAACATTACACATAATCGAATGCTCTGCAACAAAAGAAAGAAAACGAAAAATGGAGACAAAAAAAAAAGATAATTCTTTGGGTCGTCCGTTTGCATAAGTGCGTAGTTGCAGCATGGCTCTCTGCACTTGCACACATGTTCGAAAGTATCTTACTGGGTGAGATGATCAGCGTTTCGGTGAAAGTTATTCGCCCGCGCATAATAACTGGACTTACCGCTTCCCGCGAAAATGCCCATTACATACCGCTCCGTGTATAACAGAAAGAAGGGCATAAAGATGTTGCTCGCTCATTTTATATCGTGTTTTCTGATGCGGCTTATATTATTATAATTTTTTTGTATATTATATAATACACTGGAATATTTTCTTCACCACCGAAGTTATGTGCGTGTGACGAATCGTTACGTGTAACTTGTATGAGCGCAGGATCATTTTTCACATGAAAGTCGCCCGAATCTTTGCTCTGTATAAATACCTCGTAAAAATTTTAAGATGAGTGCAGTCATTGGCCATCGGGCTCAAAGAGAAGAGCTTGATCAGTAGTGAAGACGCAGCTGAAAAGTTTGTTACTAGTGTGAATTTGTTTGTAACAATTGTAATAATTTATATTAGTGTTGGAGATATCGAATATTCACAATGATCAAGGTAATACGAATTTTCCTATTTTGATTTAAAAAGAACGTTAGATTTAAATTTCGTTCATAGCCAATCTTGCTTGTTAAAAAAAAATTGCAAGCTTGAAGACTAAATGAATGAATTTTGAATCTAAGCGTTAAAGTTTAATGCAAATACTAACTACCATGCTTCCCAGTACATTCTTGTAGTAAGTTTGGCTTCGCTGGCGAGCGCGGGCTTCATTAACCAGCTCAACCAACCTCAGCAAATCTCGAGCCACGAGAGCTCGAGTCAAGCTCTCCAGCACGCAAGCTCGTTTGAGGCAGGCCATCAGCAGTCATACGAAGCACAAGCCATCCAACAGCCAATTTCGTCTCACGGAGATGCCAATGCTGCCTTATCTTATCAGTCGTCCGGTTCGAGTCAGTTTTCGAGCGACGCTGGATCTTTCTCTGGCCACGAAGCTTTGAGAGGAAACCTGTACCAAAATGACGCATCTTCCTTCGGCTCTCAATTTTCTTTAGGATCTCAGTCGAATCAGTTCAGTGGAGCTGCCCAATCATATAGTTCTCAGTCGTATCAACCTCAAATCGAGACCCATCAATCCCAGAGCATTTTACCAGCTAGTTTAGGTCAATTCTCAGATCTTGGAGAATCTTTCAACTCCCAAAGTTTCAGCCAGTACAGTGCTCCGGCTCCAATTTCTCAATATGGAGCTCCAGCTCAAGCTGCACAACTGCCATCCCTGCCAATTTCTCAACCAGCTCCGATTTCTCAATATGGTACTCCTGCACAGCTTCCATCCCTGCCAATTTCTCAACCAGCTCCGATTTCTCAATATGGAACTCCTGCACAGCTGCCAATTTCCCAACCAGCTCCAATTTCAGAGTCTTATCAACCCGCCCCAGCTGCCATCTCTCCGCCAACAGTTGTTCAGATCGAACAATCGCTGTCCCTTCCTGTAGCACAGCCCGCACCTGTTTTACTTCCTCAACCACCTCAAATTTCCCAACCACTGCTACTTCCTCAACAACCTGCACCCCAACTCATACAATCTGGTTTTTCGAGTGGTAGTTTTGGATTTGGATCAGGCTTGCAAACTATTATGTTAGATACTACTCATGGACAGGGAGAAAATCACCAGAGTGGAGGACATGACAATACCGGATACCCAGAAAATAATAATAACCAGGGTGGTTATCCAGATCATGGTAGCAATAACGGAGGCTATCCAGATAATAGTAATGGCTATCCCGAAAGTGGAAATAATAATGGTGGAGGCTCGAGCGATGGCTACCGCTATGACAAACCTGCCATTCGATTCGATTTGCCAACAAGATCCCGTGGAGCACATTAAAAATAATCAAGTGCAGTGAGCAAAAAATAAATATAATTAAAAAAATTGATGGGTAAATTTTCAATTAGTAAATCTCAGGTTATTTGATTACATTGTATATAAATAATAATATTAGTCACGAGTTTTGTGATAAGCTAGCATTTAATTTACCGCCATGTTTACGTATCTATTGTTCTTATGAAATTACTTTTTTATAGTTTTCTTATAATGAAATATTTCTGTGAACCATTATAATGACTGACGATTTTTTTACAATAAATAAAAATATATTTAAAAAATAAAATGTTTTATTGTCATCACCTCTCAAAAAATTATTACTAAGCTTTAAATTGGATACTTTTCAAAGAGAACCGAACTACTGGTTTAGAATTTCTTTTGATATTCCATAGTGTGGCAAATCAGTGTCTATTATTAAACACGATAAAATAAAAGTAACGGCTAAATTATTAAAAATGAAAATTTATTGGTACAAAACTTAGACTATGTTTTTACAAAAGAATCTTTAGAGTTTACATTTTTTGGTGGTACACAATGAGAGTAAACAATGTTTAGTTTAATAGTAGACTTGGGCGAGTTGACCGTGGGAGTAGGTATAAGCTGGGGCGATATGGGCATATCTGTGGACGATGGGCGACGAGTAAGAGACTACTGGAGCTGCAGAGTAGGTGTGGACGACTGGAGAGATGGTCTTGACCAACGACGAGTAAGGGTGGATGCTCGCAGCGGACGAGACGTAGACGGGGGCGGCGGCAGCGGCATAGGTCACAGCTGCTGGAGCTGAGGCGACTGTTTCGACGGTTTCCGAGCTAGCAGCTTCAGACTCTTCCTTGGCCTCTTTCACCTCCTTGACTTCGGTCTTGAGGACTTGAGGGGCGGCGACGAGGTAAGCCCCTTGGTGGACGACGGTGTTGACGACTGGGGCAGCTACGGCCACGGCGGCTTCTCTGCGGACGACGGCGTTGAATCCGTTGACGTCGTCGGCCGTGTAGTCGACGGTGCGTTTAGTGCCATCGGCGTCGATGAGGGAATAGCTGCCCTTGACTTTGTCGCCGTCACGAGTCTCTTCTTGGTTCTTGTGGTCTCCGGTCAGAGGGTCGGAGACTCCGTAGTTGAACGAGTATTGGGGATGATGGTCAAAGTCCTCCGGGGTGACGGTCGTGATTTCGACGTCGGCTGGTACTAGGCCGGCACTGGCGCAAGCCACGAGGGCAGCTACTACGAAAATCTGCAAGAAATGGAGAAAATTTTAGAAAATGATAGACCTTTGAGTTTATCGTCTCTTCGCTCACCTTCATCGACATTTTGAGGAGGTAGTCTTTGGAATACAGTTGACCTGAGACTGATGCTCGACTAAAAATTGCCTGGCCTTTTTATACTCATAAATTCTAGATTGAAGCTTGCATTGTTTGCTATGATTTCGTAGCCGGATATTGTCTTTACGAATGCCTACTCCCCCTCCTACTGATGAAGTTGTTTACGAATAACCCCGCCTTGAATTACTTCATAGTTTCAGATGTAACTATAATAATTTTACAAGCAACGTCATCTTAATTTATAAATTAGCCACATTCTAAATTATATCATCTCGAATATTTTCTGTAATTAATCAAAGTATATAGAAAGGTCTACAAATTTTGTTTTTGTTTTGCAGTGTAATTCAAATTATAGTTTTAAATTTATACGGTACTTTATACAAGCCTTTGTGGTGGCTTGTAAATTATGGAAAAAATATTTAATTAGAAATATTGATTTTTTTTGCAAAAGAAAGAAAAATCTATGAGATTTGCATTAGTTTTTTTTTAATAGCTCGATATCTTGAACAATTAAAAATTGTTATTAAAGAAGACTCGTTATTTCATGTCAATCGCATGAAAAATTATTGAATTTAACCCGATTGTCGTTTTGTTTTTCTAATACGAAAAAGATGAAGAAATGCTAGTTAAAATTGATCATTATAATGAAAAATACCTTTGTAAGTTTGGATCAAAATTTTATTATTGTACTCCAATAAAAATACATATTTGATTTAGATCGATGGTTATGATCTAGTTTGCAGGCACACATTAGCTAATGGTTTTACTTTTAAACTGCATACTCACTACAACGTATATTCGCTATTATTTACATTTTAAATGTAATATTATTGAAATCAAGGAAAAGTTAGATTTCCGAAGAGCGGCTTAGTAGTGGTGGGAGTAAGACGACGAAGAGGAGATCTGGAGATGAGGCTGCTGGTGAAGGGCAGTCTGGTGGTAGGCGATCGGGCTCGAGTGGTAGGCAAGAGCGGGAGCCACGGCGTGAGCGACGGCGTAGTGAGCGGGCTCCTTGCGGACGACGGCGTTGAATCCGTGGTGGGCGTCGGCGGTGTAATCGACGATGCGCTTGGTGCCGTCCGACTCGATGAGCGAGTAGCTGCCTTGCACCTGGTCGCCGTCGCGGCTCTCGTGTTGGCTCTTCACGTCTCCGGTATGCGGGTCGTGGACGTTGTAGGCGAAGCTGTACTGAGGATGCGCGTCGTAGGGCTCCGGCTGCAGGACCTTGGTGATGATCTGAGGCTGAGCGTGATAGGACAGCGGCACGAGTCCGGCGCTTACCGCCCCCAAGACGACCGACAGAATGATGAGCTGCAATTCGAGAGGGAAATATTAGATCACCGAACTATTCGCAGTTTCCTTTGGACTTTGGAGCGAACTGCACTCACCTTTGAGGCCATGTTAGCTGAGAGAGTTGCGAAGAACGACTGATGCTGCATCCAGCGAGGGTTCAACTTTATATACACCCAGCTGGTGCATTGAAAAACGCACAAATTTCGTAAGTGCACGGGCCAGAGCTGCAGCGAACGCCGCCAATGACCAAAAGAAAACAAAAAGGATTTTCGTGCATTGACGCGAGAGTAAGAGGGGTGTACGTAAGCGCGCGCCCTTTCGCAAAATATTTGCCCGCGCGTGCACTGTCGGCTCGCGGAGCCGCGCGTATATAATACTAATGGGCGCACGAAAGAGGGCCTTACACACAGCGCCCGCCACGATAAAAATCGCTATCCCTTTTTCATTTCTTTGTTATACGATTGTCCGCGCGCGTGTTTTGGCAGCGAAATTCGTCAGGGGAAACGCTCGTTATTACGTATTCGCGCGCGTACCCATAACGAATGCTGTTGTTGCTATTTAAAGTATTATTACGCGGGAGCGCGGCGCAGGAGTGCAGAGAGGCACGCAACGATATTCGCCCCGTGTGTCGTCGCCCTGCTCGTTTTATGCGCGCCTGTCATTGCTGCACACACATATATACACCATATATAATGACTTTTAAACTGTAAAAAAATACAAAAGCTTAGCGTTTATGCCCGGCGAGACTGCAGCCATTGCATCATATCTATATTGGAAAGTGTGCGAAAGAAATTATGTCGATGCTTACGTTTGAATGTTTTATTTATTGATTTTTCTCCGTGCACCTGCATGCACATTCGAACTGGACCAACAAAGATGATACACTTACATCACTTGCCCGCCTTAACTGATCCATATCTGACGTCTGTAGTAAGCTTATTATTTCAATTACATGGGTTACACTGTATAACTTATCATAACAAAGCCTAAATACTGTGGAATTTAAGTTGACATCACCGACAAATCACGTAAAGTGTATAGTTCATTTCTTCGAATTTAATGATTCACGTGTTACGCGCAGTTGCTCAAATCGCATTACGATCCATTATAAGAAAGTCTAAACACGTTATTTGGTGCGCTCGCAGGACACTCAAATAGCAATATACTTTATATATAATTCATTCGTGGAGTAATAAATAATTCCTGCTGATATGAGCACACAGTCGACAATAACTATCAATCAAAATATTTTTGCTACCTTTATTTTCGATAAACGGCAAGTTGATCGATAACTTAAAAATATTTTTTTACAATTGATCAATAGCACAGACCTCGTGTACCGACGTTTTGTAACTATCGATGGATTTTTCATGCCCATTACTATTTTGGATTAAACGTAAATCCGATTGATCCATTATAATGATAATGCGGTGATTTTTTTATCAACGAATTCATAGTGCAAGCATCTTTTACACGTGAAAACGTCAATGAGCAATATTTTTAAGCCCGTCAAATGTATTCAATTTTGGTGCTCTCTATAAGCAAATCTTACGCTGCGAAGGTCATATTCGACGTACATTGACAATATGCCATGGGTTGAATAATGTACAGTCGCGCAATCTATTACGCATGTGAGGTGCATTGAAAATTTATGAAAGGCGGGTAATCAAGAGAATTTTGGATTAAATATTGTAGTATTTGTCGTTTACTGCTCTACATGTAAATTTAAATTTTGCATTATTTAATGCTTTGAATGTATTATAAGATATTTTTTTGGGTAAACTTTCCACATTACACTTGTGAATGGAAAGCAGAATTGATTACTCTATGAAAGACTTCTTAATTTATATTCAGCTAACTTCAGTCTCTTTTATGGTGCGTTAAAGCACGAAAAAGTTTTAACATAAAACAGCAGGTACTTTGGTATTTTTTTCTATAAAGTGCAGTTGGCTGGTTCATAAAGAAAAAAAGTAATATAAATATTTTGTGCGTCATGTTCATGTATGCAACCTTCATATAAAAAATTTGTATAGTAAAAAAAGTAATGACAAAATATTTATTTCACCCGACAGTTGTTTAAATTTCGAATTTTAACTTTACCATTTTTTTAAAGAATATTTTTGTACTTTCTCTTCGAACTTTTCAAATTATATCGCAAATGTACTTTTTTTTGTAAATGGAAAAAAAATATGAATAGATTTATGATTCTTTATTCATTTAATATTCCTTGCATTAAAAATTGAAATTTATAAGCCACATTTTTTTAATAAATTAAATAAAAACCATAATAATCTTATGAGAAGAATCTTTTTACTAGTGAGTCCAATGTAAAATTTTTTTAACGTTTGAAAAGTTCAAGTGATTCTCAATTAATATACAATTGTATCAAAAATCTACAGTCTGTACAATCTCGTGTAAGTTAATAATATAAGTCAGTCACGTGGAATCAAAGGACACGTCAAGGTCTTGCTTGTTAATTTGATGTCTGGGTTATGAAGTATGATCTGTTCGCAAATTTGCATAGTAAATTAATTATTAATGTGCTTTTTATGAACTTCCCAATTTCAAGGCATGCCTTGCCCTGCGAATAAATCTTAAACGAACAAGGGTATAGAACCCTGTAACTGATGTTATTCATACACGATGATGATAAGCATGTAAAGTTCGTCTCCGCAGACTTAATTTTTTTTTATACATAATTGTGCAATTTTATACAAGTATAACAATGTGGCGGTCTCGTATGATAGCCATAAGCGTGGGTTACGCAAAGAAAGCGCGCAACATTTGTCACATTGGAAAGGCCTCGTTCGCATACACGAGCGCGTGATACTTTTCAAAGCGCGTGTAATCGCGCAACGATTCTTAGAGGTGAAAATGCGAACGTGAATTTGGCATCCGCCAATCTGACCTTGAGCAGCGGAGAATCGTCATTACAGTTACGATGCACAATCGGTTGGCTCGGTGCATCTTCGCGGCCCATGGGTGGGCGAATCTCTCTGTTGTGACATCTAGGCACGATAAATACGCGCGTTAGTTAGCGTCTTAGCATCAGTCTTTGACAAACAGTTCTAGTTGCAGTTTCGCTAGTTGTCGCAGGGTGTTGGAGTAAACAAATCATGGCTTACGGAAAGGTATGGCTTTCAGACTAAGCAATTTAATCGATAATCATTAAAATAGCTATTGCATTAGAAATTTAATAATTATTTTTCAGATCGTGTGCTTCATAAGCGTCGTCGGTGCACTCTGCAACTTGGCTCGAGGCGAAGCCGTAGTGCCAGCAGTTGCACCCGCCGTTGTAGCCAGAGTCGAACATTACGACCCGAATCCTCAGTACAGTTTCGCGTACGACGTGCAGGATCCCTCAACCGGTGACTCGAAAGCTCAATTCGAAACTCGCAACGGTGACGTGGTCCAAGGAAGTTACTCGCTCATCGAAGCTGACGGCACCAGACGCATCGTCGACTACACCGCCGATCCCATCAACGGATTCAACGCCGTGGTCAATCGAGAGCCAGCCGTTGCCGTGGCACCGGTCGCACCCGTTGCTGCCGCCGCCGCCGTCGTCGATGCGCGTCACAGGACTCTCGCCGTAGCTCCTGTGGCTCCCGTGACTCGAGTCATCGGTGCTCCCGTGCACCGAGCCGTGGCTCCAGTCGTTGCTCATCGTCACTTGCCTTTGACGGCGGCACCTGTGGGCCATGTACATGCTCACCCGGTGAGAACCGTTGCCGCCCCGGTGCTTGCCAGGACTATCGCGGCCGTACCCAAGCCCGTTGCTGCTCCAGTTTTTGCCACTAGGGCGCTAGCTCATACGCACGTCGCGCCAGCTCACATTCATACGCACTACGGCGTACCAAGGGCCGTTGCCACGAGAATCAACTATCCTTATACTTACTCCTACGAAATTTAAATGTACTTTTCGTGGAAAATGACAAATAATGTGTCGTTGATTGCATTTAGCATTTCATTATACCTCTTGATTTTATTAATATTTTAGTTGTACATAAATTGCCAATAATGTACTATTATTAGTTTTGAATAAAATCACTTTGAAATAAATGATATTTTCTTTTATACTTCTATCGAGTTCTTTGAAGAAATAAATAATTCTTAAGTAATATCTACAGCTCTACGAGTACCCGATTTTTGAAGTTTTACTCGACTTGAGTCGGGAAATTCGAGTACTCGAGTTTGTTTGGGTACTCGAATTTTTCCGAGTACTCGATGGGCAAAAGTATAATTTATATTACGAGCGCTGCGAGTATGCCACTTATCAGTATGTGCACACAAAGAGAGAGGTCTAGAGATTATAAATTCATCATTTATTCATTTATAACTCAAATACATGGCAAGTACTTGAAAAAACTTGATTACTCGACACAAATTCGACGAGTCGAGTTATTTCGAGTACTCGCACAGCCCTTGTAATAACTTCATGAAAATAATTTAACTGGTTACTCGTGCATCAACCCTTCAATAAAATGTACACGCAATTTTCAAATGTAATTGCAAAAAAGGCTCATTGACTTTTTAAAAATGATTGTAACTTATTGTAACTACGAAACTTGTACGTACAAAATAGCTTTTACTAAGCACGATTCGCGCTCCATGGTGTACATTTTTAATTTCTAGGAATAAACTGTTGATTACCGAAAATTTTATTCTGTTTTCTATCAAGCGGGCCAATAATTTGATTCCTTCAATCATAAATCGAATTACTCCGACGCTCGATTTATATTGATTTATTAAAATTGTCATATCTAGATTGGTAGTATTGTTCAATTATATTTAAGATAATTGGATTAATACATATCTTTAATGCAGAATAATTATAATGAATTGAAGACGAGAAAATTTAATAAATAAGTTAATTGAAATGAGATTTTAAAGATAATTATTGAGAAAAATCAAAGGTAGTTTTCTAATTTTTAAATTAATTAAATTAAATAATTAATTCCAAAGTTCATTTAGAGTGTAGGTAAAATTTATTGATACAAAACTTAGTCTATATTTTTACAAAAAAAAATCTTTAGAGTTTACATTTTTTGGCGATACACAATTAGAGTAAACAATGTTTAATTTAATAGTAGACTTGGGCAAGTTGACCGTGGGAGTAGGTATAAGCTGGGGCAATATGGGCATATCTGTGGACGATGGGAGAAGAGTAAGAGACTACTGGAGCTGCAGGGTAGGTGTGGACGACTGGAGAGATGGTCTTGACCAACGACGAGTAGGGGTGGATGCTCGCAGCGGACGAGACGTAGACGGGGGCGGCGGCAGCGGCATAGGTCACAGCTGCTGGGGCTGAGGCGACTGTTTCGACGGTTTCCGAGCTAGCAGCTTGAGACTCTTCCTTGGCCTCTTTCACCTCCTTGACTTCGGTCTTGAGGACTTGAGGGGCAGCGACGAGGTAAGCCCCCTGGTGGACGACGGTGTTGACGACTGGGGCAGCTACGGCCACGGCGGCTTCTCTGCGGACGACGGCGTTGAATCCGTTGACGTCGTCGGCCGTGTAGTCGACGGTGCGTTTGGTGCCATCGGCGTCGATGAGGGAATAGCTGCCCTTGACTTTGTCGCCGTCACGAGTCTCTTCTTGGCTCTTGTGGTCGCCGCTCAGAGGGTCGGAGACTCCGTAGTTGAACGAGTATTGGGGATGATGGTCAAAGTCCTCCGGGGTGACGGTCGTGATTTCGACGTCGGCGGGTACTAGGCCGGCACTGGCGCAAGCCACGAGGGCAGCTACTACGAAAATCTGCAAGAAATGGAGAACATTTTAGAAAATGATAGACCTTTGAGTTTATCGTCTTTTGGCTCACCTTCATCGACATTTTGAGGAGGTAGTCTTTGGAATACGGTTGACCTGAGACTGATGCTCGACTAAAAATTGCCTGGCCTTTTTATACTCAATGAACTCTAGACTAAATTTCGCATAAGTCGAACAAACTACTATCGTAAATGATATACCTGCAAACCCCTTCTTTTTTTATGATCGTATTCAAAAATTAGCTGCCGATATCGCACAACTTTCAATATGTTCGTCGAAATTATAAATCAAAATTCGTAAGACAATAGCGATGTTTTAAATACTTCATAACAATTGCGTGATACTTGACCTTGCTATTGACACATCATAAGGATAGGTCCGTGGACCAACTGATCGATCGTATCACTCTTATGAGTTCAAGCACTTTTAAGCAGTATGTAAATTACGCGTATCCGTTTATATGACTGTTAAGAATTACTTCAAAGAAATGATATGATACAATGAGATTATGCTATGAGATTGTGCTATGACATTACACTAGTAAACAAGTCTATAAGCAGGAGGGGCATTGAGCGTGCATTTGCTGCAATATTTTTCGACTTAAACGTCGTAACCTACTCGACTATGCGAAATTTAGTCTAGAGTTCCTTGAGTATAAAAAGGCCAGGCAATTTTTAGTCGAGCATCAGTCTCAGGTTAACCGTATTCCAAAGACTACCTCCTCAAAATGTCGATGAAGGTGAGCGAAAAGACGATAAACTCAAAGGTTTATCAAGGATTTTCTAAAATTTTCTCCATTTCTTGCAGATTTTCGTAGTAGCTGCCCTCGTGGCTTGCGCCAGTGCCGGCCTAGTACCAGCCGACGTCGAAATCACGACCGTCACCCCGGAGGACTTTGACCATCATCCCCAATACTCGTTCAACTATGGAGTCTCGGACCCTCTGAGCGGCGACCACAAGAGCCAAGAAGAGACTCGTGACGGCGACAAGGTCAAGGGCAGCTATTCCCTCATCGACGCCGATGGCACCAAACGCACCGTCGACTACACGGCCGACGACGTCAACGGATTCAACGCCGTCGTCCGCAGAGAAGCCGCCGTGGCCGTAGCTGCCCCAGTCGTCAACACCGTCGTCCACCAGGGGGCTTACCTCGTGGCCGCCCCTCAAGTCCTCAAGACCGAAGTCAAGGAGGTGAAAGAGGCCAAGGAAGAGTCTGAAGGGTCGAGCTCGGAAACCGTCGAAACAGTCGCCTCAGCCCCAGCAGCTGTGACCTATGCCGCTGCCGCCGCCCCCGTCTACGTCTCGTCCGCTGCGAGCATCCACCCCTACTCGTCGTTGGTCAAGACCATCTCTCCAGTCGTCCACACCTACCCTGCAGCTCCAGTAGTCTCTTACTCGTCTCCCATCGTCCACAGATATGCCCATATCGCCCCAGCCTATACCTACTCCCACGGTCAACTCGCCCAAGTCTACTATTGAATTAAACATTGTTTACTCTAATTGTGTATCGCCAAAAAATGTAAACTCTAAAGATTTTTTTTTGTAAAAACGTAGACTAAGTTTTGTATCAATAAATTTTACCTATCAATTGTGACAGTAAATCTTGTTTTATTTAATTTGACAATCGATATGAGTATAATACAATGTTTGGCTTTTCATTTAATATATAATACTAAGTGGTAAATGTTAAATTAACTTTGGATGCGTGAATAAATTGCATAAAAATTCAATTTTCCCCATAAATATCGCTAATTTCTGTTCAAAGTAAAGTGAAAAGTCGACGATGTTTTAAAATGCTTCAGTTTGGTCGAGTCTGTCCCTTTTTCATAAATAGATTTTACAATTAAAAATTCGCTTATAACATTTAGCCATGCAGGAACAAATGAAATACCTGTAGAATAGTGCTTTTAATTTCCAAATATTCTGATTTTTTAAAATTGTTTTGTTTGAAGTAGAAAATTCTAATCACTACTTTTCATAACAATGCATTAACAGAAAAAGATTATTCATAATAAAAACTCAATATATTTTTCATTCAATATCTACTTTTATTATATTTTTTCATATCATTTACGGAAAATAATTACGACAGAATCTAATTCGACAAAGTTTCCGCATACATTAACAAATGAATTTCACTTTCATAGTAACTATTGGAATGTTCTCAAACAATAATCACATACTGTTAAATCAAACAATCGTTGTATATGGCAGCCCGAGCCCAGAAATCGGCGCGCTGTAGGCGATCGGTGACGTGTAAGTAGCTGTATACGCCGGATAGCTTAGCTCAACATTTGTAGTAGGTGCAACGATTCTTCGAACCTCAACTCGAGCTAAAGGTGTAGCAATGGCTCGAGCTGGTGCAGTGTTGATGAATGCTGTATTTCTAACAACAGCTTTCAACTGATTGGCTTCGGAAGTTTCATTGGGTTTTGTGTAGACGTATCCATTATTTTGAATCGGTTGGTTCTGCGGTTTGCTCGATCGAGTCTCGATAATCTCTACTTCCGAGTTGGGATTGTCAATTTCGACTTGAGGAGCCACTGTTTTTTCCGCTGATACGACGATTGGAGCAACAGCTGTGGCTGGTTCGCGACGGACGACCGCGTTGAACCCATTGGCAGGGTCAGCCGTGTAGTCAACGATACGTCTTGTGCCGTCGGGTTCAACGAGCGAGTAACTTCCTTGGACTACATCACCGTTGCGAGTCTCGTATTGGGCCTTAGAGTCGCCGGTGCTGCTGTCTTGAACGTCGTAGGCGTAACTGTACTGAGCAGGTGCATCTGGTTGTTCGAGTTTCACGGGTAGTCTCGCAACCCGAGATATCGTTGCTACTGGAACAGCCACTTCTGGCTGGCTTATCGTAGTAACTGGAACTATGGCTGCACGAGCTAAGGGCATCATCGCCAGTAGGATAGCAAAACACTAAACAAAAATTTAAACAATTTTAATGATGTAAAAAGTTATAATTTAATAACTATGATAAGTGATTTACCTTGTTAAGAGCCATTTTCGCTGAACGTTGATTAAAGCACAACTGATAATCCAGGGTGCATCGAGCACTTCTTTTATACTAATTCGATACGTGTTTCAATATAAATTGCCCATGCACTCCCACTTTTCAAGTTTATCATGCGTTTATGATTCTCTATCTTCGTAACTCAATATTTGGCAATAATGACCTTGTACAATTTAGTGTTGGTGCACATTTGAAAATTAAAAATTGCATGGTCAAATGTCCCTGGCACGAAACAAATGCGACGCGACTTGAAACTTGATAGAGTTTTGCATGCTTGAATGTCTTTTCAATATAATAATTTAATCAGTCTTGTTTCTCATGCTGATCGAGTTGGACGCATGTTTATTAATTTAAACGTGTAGTGATACACGTATTTTCACGTTTACGATAGATTCTACGATGGCTTAGTTCAACAAAATCATTCAAGTACACAACTTCATAGTTCATTGGTGACTATTATACAAAATGCATAATACAATTTGAATAGTGTTCTTTTTATTCAATAAAAATTATATGTTTCAGATACTTACAACATTAACATCAACTTTATTTGAAAATGAGAATTTTTTTATTTTTATAATTTACGGGCAATTTCACTCGCACTAATTTGACTTCTATTTGCTTCTTTTTTACATTGACGATATAGTTAATTTTAATAAATAATAGAATACTAAAGCGCTGCTACTGGTAGAGTTCCTATTTGTCTATCGATTTGGTCTAATATCTCGTCAAAGATATAAATTAATTTTGAGAACATTTTTAATATTTATTGCCATAAAATCAGCTAGTTAATATTTCGTTTGGTCATTGATTAAAATATTGATTTCAATCATTATCTAATAACCGAATGAAACAATTTACCAAACTCATGCTATACAGATCCACCCCGAAGAAAAATTGCTGTATCGAACTTTATTCTGCATGATTATTACGAAATTTTCAGATGGAATATCTTTTAATATAATTGAGAGAAATTCATATGGGATTTACATGGTTTACAATTATTTATGTTGCAAATAATAAGCAAAAGTTTGTTTGTTGTAGCAAAAATTTATTCAAGTAATATCAAGTTTTCATTTCTTTACAAGAAATATACATTATAAAAAGTAAATAATAAAAGCATCACATTTTTCATATAAAAAAATATTTAACATGTGGACTATTTATACAATACATAGCATAGTTAGGAAATGAGTAACTATCGTTGATGCACAAAGTGTCCAGGGGCAGTCTGATAAAACTGAGGATGATACCTAAAATGATGAGGAGGAGGTATGCCCACGGCAACAGCTGGCGCGGGTGGAAGTGGAGCTGGAGCTATGCCGATCGGAGCTGCGGGCACTGGTACCGGAGCGGCTACTACGGCAGGAACTGGTGCCGCTACGACGGCGGGCTCTCGATGAACGACGGCGTTGAATCCGTTGACCGGATCGGCCGTGTACTCGACGACGCGCCGAGTCCCGTCGGCTTCGATCAAGGAATAGCTGCCTTTCACTACGTCACCTTCTCGGGTCTCGTATTGATTTTTTGAATCGCCGGTAATGCTGTCTTGAACGTCATAGGCGTAGCTGTATTGAGGATGAGGATCATAATCTTCAAATCGCGTGACGACAGCCGGCACGGCTGCTGGGATTACATGGCCTTGGACTCCCACGATCCACGTCAAAGCCGCCAATTCCACAAACGTACACCACAACTAAAATTGTAAATTTTTAGGAAATTAATAACTGTTCAACGGTTTTAAAAACTATAATATTAATTAAAAATCAAATTAGTTGAACATTTTTTCAGGTGAAAAGATTTTATCACACAAAAAACTATTTTTGAAGAACAGCATTAAATTTGGCACAAAATATTAATTATGTTAAACACCATACTACAAACACTTGAACCATATCACAATTCATTGAAATTGAATTTAAAATATTAACACAAAGTCACTGATAAAAAAACGTTGATAACCTTGATAGCCATTTCTGAAGTAAATACTGTTATTGATTGATAAGCCAAAAACTATTTTGACAATCGGATGTCACCGGCGATGCAAGTACTGATGTCCGGACGGAAAAGTCTCGAGGTTTTTATAGTAAGAGCCGCTGGCACATCCCCGCATTGTTATACTTCTGGTGTCTTTCTACCTGTGATGCAGTACATACATATGGCCGTACGTGACTTCTTGTGCACCGGAGTACTATTTGTAACGGCAAAAGCTTTGCCGCTTTCCTTACTCTCTCTCTCTCTCTCTCTCTCTCTCTCTCTCTCTCTCTCTTTCTCCTTTCCTCTTAAAATTTTGCAATCAAAGTTAATCAGAGTCGGGACGACATTTTTTTCTCATGAACTGCGTATGAATTAAATTTTTCACGCCTATTTGATACTTTACATATCGTAAAAATCACAATTTTTTGAAAATTACATTCTTTGTAATAAGTAATAAATTTGAGAGTATTCGTGTAACACATAGTATGTCGCAACTGTTGCACAAACGCGTACGCACGCTGCAACTCTCGGACAGGAAAGGTTCATGAAAACAACATGGGGTGACGATTATGTATCGCGTACATCTACAAATGACTTGGAAAATAAATACACCTCTTCCTTATAGTCTATAAAATGGATTGAAGTTCATCGAGACCAGTATTTGTATGTTTAGAAAAATTATTATTAAGCGCTCAACCGATCCTAGCTTATTTTGAGGAAACTTTGGTCCGAAATTTTTTAGGAAATGCTTTCACAGTTTTATGATTGAATATAACATGTTTAAATAACAAAGCAATTAAGTGAAACGATTTTTCTATAAAATTATTCATAAGATTGGATGAAAAGAATGATATGAAAAAGTAGCATTCAATCTGCTTCAGATTTCAATTGTAAAGTGAGCGATGTTTTTTATTATTAATAATGTATTAACGAGCAACGCCCCACTATTTTGCATTCAAATCACTCCAGGCAATAATTACTTATCAAGCTCGTTTTAAAAAAATTCAATAATACAACTTTTATACATCGTACTTATTGATAATCAGCGTTTTACAGATAAAAGTAAAATATATTAATTCTCCCTATGATTTAAGTTGAACACAGCCAATGTTAATTAATTTTCAATAACTTTTCAGGGAAACACGTCATCCTATTGAATCCCACCAAAAATATCACTTGTAATGTTTCATAGGTGTGGAAAACACATACGTGCCGTGTTTGTACAAAGATGCCCGAACTTAATATGCACAAAAGCGAGCTGTTGCAGCACTTTCACGCTAGCCGTTGCAACGAGAATGAAAGTTACTTCTTATGCGACTCAAATCAAATGGGAAAAACGAATGTCTTACGACATAATACAATTATACGGATGATTTTACCGAATTAAATAATATTATTCTTTTAAAAGTGCAGTGATAACTTCGTTAATAATCTGAAGCATTATCAAGGGCCTTTGAAAAAATCATAACGGGTAAAGTGTTACTTTTTTTCAGCAAACTTGTTTTGATTAAAAAAAAAAAAAAAAAGAAATAATTGCTTGATGCAAAAGAGTCGAGCGCAACTTCTTTCAAGATTCATCTTAAGCAGTTCATCGGCCGCTTGGGTGCTATTGCGCAAGAAGTAAAACAAACTCGTCGGAAGATGGGCATTGACCTTGAAGAGCACACGAAGAATCAGGGTCTCGGTCGGTCTATATCTCATATCTTCTTTTTTTTTTGCTTATGGCCGAGATTGAACCGGTCATCAACCTGAGCTCTTCCTTGTGATTTTAATTCATTGAATAATATCGTTTGCATGTGACGTCAATCTTTTTTATGATACAAACACACGGTGAAAGTAAACTATGTAAGTTTTGATGAGTTACACATTTTTTTTCACTTCGTATTGACATGTTTAGATCAATCCAAAGATGAAACGACGGTGCGCATTTCAAATTAGTAAGCTAATTAACACGTAAAATCTTAATTCACGCGCAAAAAAATGTTGGTATATGATATGCTCAATCTTTCATTGACTGAGTTTTAAGCCGAAATCAATTTTATATTTTTTATGACGATTAAAAATCCATTGAATAGCCTTATCGTCAATTCGATTAAATTCCAGTCTGCGTTTAAATATTAAATAACAAATTGGAAAATTACATGTGAAAAATTTTCAACCAAAATAATAGCATCCAATTTGAAACAACAACGGCAGAAGTGTCAATCACCGTCATCTCAACTGTTTTTCGGAATTAGTAATGGAAATCTTGCGCAAAATTATTGCATCGCCGTTGTTTGCAAGATTACCCGATTTACACCGGCGTATATAACCCGTCAGTTTTCCAATGCGTCAACTGTCGTTGAGAAGCCCATAAATCTGAAAGGAGAATTCAATCGGCCACGGAGTTTTATCGCCGAAAGGTAAGAGATGAAAAGTGGTCATTCTATTAAGACAATAAAGATTGGTAGTGCACCGAAAGAAATTTGTTTACTGCAAAAACCTCACACGTTGAAAATTTATTATCCATCCAGTGCGTATGAATATTTTTAATGTATTTTTTTGATCATTTTTTATAAGAAAAAGACATTGCTTTTACCTCGAATGAAAACATCTATTGATTCTGTACTATTTACGAACTTTAATAATATTGCTCCTTATAAAAGGCTAAAAAGGCTAATTGGTTTTGAACAGCAAAGTTCATTTTTTGCAACACTAGACATCAATCAACGATATTTGAGCCAAGTAGTCATTTATTTAGAAAATGATGCTGTTTCTGTATAAAATAACTTTGTATTTCATACATGTATGCATTAACTTCTATTAACTAGCAATACGTGTATAAGGAAATAGTACTTTTTTGAAGACTGAATTTAATGGCCTAAAACTCAAAATATCATCGCTGCCACACTAGCTCTAGAAGTAATGATTGATTTTCTAAATTTTTATTTTTCCTTTATTATCGATATCAATTATTTATCGTTGGATAAACAGTAATTTGTGTATACTATTAGCGAAAATCCGAAGTATATCCAAGTCCAGAGTAAAAAAAACATCGAATCACGAAGTAAGCGAGTAATTTCACGGCAATCAGAAAGTCTTTTGATAAATGTGTGGGATTATTTTAAAATCTGGATCGCAGCTACATAACCATGGCTAACAAAGGTGCAGAGTCTCTCGTATAAATCAAGAAAAACGTCAATTTTCGTTTGACAAACGTACATTCGACAGGTTTATTGTTGGCCACTTAAAAGTGATCGCATTATTAGCCCTAGAGCAGTGGAGCAGCTATACGTACTTGCACACGAGAGTCGGCGTTCGCAAACAAGGAAGCTCTGTAGATCGGGAATATTATTATTGTTCATCACACCGATAGAAGCCCGAAGGGAGATTTCGTTGCCGTTTTGAAAAAAAAACTCGAAAATGATTCTCTGACAGTTTTGGGTGAAGGATCATGACGGTATACAATCTATTTTTAATCGCTGCTGCTACAGATTTTTCGCACAATCATGTAACAAGCTATTTCGCAGCGAAATCATCGGCTTACGTAATTTTGATATAGATCAAGCTCGTTTGGAAATCGCTTGAAAAACAAACTCATTGGGAGTTATCACAGCTAACTCGGGCCACCCAATTGTGCGCATTAAAATATTAATTATTAATCTTACATGGACACTCTCACGAAACGGCTCTTAAAATATGCCGTTGACTCGGTGAATCGAGATATAAATGCATGTGCACATTTTTCCATAAATAAAGGCGCTCATGGCGAGCAGATAATAGTGCACTACATACACACGCGGCGTATCCTTGGAAAATCAAAAGTGTATAATAAAATACATGGGCGAGTTCAATAAAAGTGTCTTTTTGAAAATCCACGCGTCCACGCAAAAGCTCATAAACCTATCAGCGAGCGAGAGATCTATGGCTGTCTTTATGGTATACATTACGTGACAGTAAAGCGCAACGATGGACCGCTCGCTGACTCCGTCCGGCCTGTATACGCGAGCGAGCGAGATAAAAATACGTCAATTCTCGGCGATTTTTTTGTCCCAATCGTCATTATTGAGCCATTCGAGGGATCTATATAGCGTGCGCTTATTGTAATTCGCGCTACATCTAGGCCAATCAGTTTTACTGATAATGAGTCTCTTAATAGCTTGCAACTATTAATAAAAGTGTGCGCGCGGGTAAAAAAAAGCCTCGTGCCACTTCATCGTCGTCGCACCGTCGGGTCTGAATTAATCGAAAAATTAAACGATCGAGACACTTTGACTGCAGTGTCTCGATGCGTGTCCCCCGTAGTCCGTGAAAGATGACTAACCCGAAGCGCGCGTAAGGATCTCACGATATAACCGACGTAAAGAGGCGGTGCTGTACGGTCGTGCTATACGAGTCGCTAACTACGCCAGGCCGCGACGATGACGAAACACGTTCGTTCAAATGCAGAAAGGATTACGCGCTCGCCTCCGATATCTCTAGCTGCGCCGCGCGTATAGCCAGGATAAAAATGTGCAACCGATCGCGGCTAGAGGGGCTCGCGATTCGAGCAAAGGACAAAGTGGGGTCCTCGACGCGCTTCGAGCCTTTGTACGTGATACGTGCTACCTGCGTACACTATGTATCTATGCTCTCCTCTAGTTATTTTCGCGCTAGGCTATATAAAAGCTGAGCTTTGCCGTTTGCTCCGAATTAGATCGCGATTCTGCTCGGTTGCAGTCAGCTGGTAGCACACATTTTCCACGGTTACAAGTGTTACGGGGCCAACCTGCTAGCTATAACTGAGAAATATGGCAATTTTGGTATAAAAATTTATTCATCTAGTTTTTTATTCAATTTTGGGTGTTTAAAAATATTCGTTCTGAATTTGTGAGACACTTTGAATTCTTGTTTTGAATAATTTTACGAACAAAATATAAATTAAAGAAATTGAAACACATATGTTAGAAATTCATTCAAATATTTTTTTAAAAAGTCACACGACAGTTATATCCTTTTTAAGTACTTAAAACGAATAGAAAAGAAAATGTGCTCTGCTAAAAATCTAAAAGATTTTATTTTCATTGACAGCAAAATTTCGTCCTTTTCGCGGCCCTCGTGGCAACGAGTCGTTGCTTGGTGATTAAGCCAGAAGCTGCAGTGCCCGTAGCCGCTGTGACTCCTCTGCCACCACTAGTTCCGTTGGCTGCGACTCATCCCCTGTATTACGGACACCATCCCGCGGGGGTGGCACCAGTGGCCCCGGCCATCGTCAAGACCATCCACGCCGATCCGCGTGACAATCCCCATCCTCAGTACAGCTACGTCTACGACATCGCCGACCCAGTGACCGGTGACGTCAAGAGCCAGCAGGAGAGTCGCGACGGCGACGTAGTTCGCGGTAGTTACAGCTTCATCGAGTCCGACGGCAGCAGACGCATCGTCGACTACACGGCCGACGACATCAACGGCTTCAACGCCGTCGTCAGGAGGGAGCCTGGAGTAGCGCCGCCGACGGGACCCGTTGGACCGTCAGCTTCAGCTCATGTGCACCAGCAAAGCTACAACAATCCGCTCATCCACCAACACGCCTTGGCACCGCTTCCTCCGCTCTCTCACAATCATCTCAATGTAGCTCCTGTTATAGGTAATGTACAATACGACATATTCATTTTCGTATGAATCTCAATTCCTTGAATTTAAATGTACATGTTGTATCGGTTAAGTATATAAATTATAAAAGGATATTTCATCCACGTGCGTAATTAGCGTACTAACAGTTTATTTAATTGTGCAACACATACACGTGCTTTAGTAAAAATTAAATTTATCTTGTATGGAAATATATATTACTTGACTTAGCATACTTTGAGGGATTACGTTAATTGCATCAAATAATCACTGTATTAGTATTATGAAAGTTTATTGAAATTTTGTTCAAGGTGACAATTATCCCTCATAACTTTTGCACTTCCTTCTTAAAAATTAATACGATTTGATAGCTCAAAGTTTTTTTTTTTTTGCAAGACAGGCTTTAATTTTTCATAACTTTTTAATTTTTCAACGAAAATCAATCATTCTTTAATAGTCTATTACTCTTCGTTATGAACCCCTGACAATGAATTTATTAACATTATCTGATAGTAAGTGCGCATAATTCAACGATATTAATGCCCAGCTTTATCTATTCGATCAAAAATTATACCCTCCACATGTTTATGTATGTACAGCTTAAATATTCTACACGTGAGCTTCGTTCTTTGTCCTTCGCTCGTTTTGACATAAAAATTTTACTAACTACTTTAATTATTTATTTTGAAGGATTAAATTTATCAATCTTCAAATTTTTGTGTTGAATTTAATAAAATTTTAAAATTAAACTACCGATAAATTTGATAAAACATTTTCGTAGTTTACAAGTGCAAATAGTATTCTACATTATTTTTATCGCAGGACCATCAAATGCTTACTTAGCTTTACAACGTCAGCACGCCGCAGCTGCTGGTTTGGGTCTTAGCCATGTTCACAATTCACTGGTCAACCCAGTGTATCAACAATATATACCTGCTCATCATTATCAGCCACATTTACCCATTGGTCGTATCGGATATGCTCTGAATAATGTGCCTTTTGGCTATGCTCATCAGCATTAAAATTTTTATTTTCATTTTAGCTCGATACTGTTTTAGAGAGAAAAACAAATTAAGAATACAAAATGATATATTCCGTCGAAAAAATCATCTAATTTACCTAATAATTAATCACCGAAAGATACCAGCCTTAGATTATCCTGGTTAAATTTATAATTAATATAGAACACCTTATTTAATTAAAGGCAACGTCTAAGTACGATAAATAAAAAATAGACAAAATTTGCTCTAACGAGAACATTGAAAAGAGAGTATAATAAATAATGTATACTTTTAACTTATGTCCTATTCGCTAATTAGTTGAATGAAGTAATCAAGTGTGCTTTATTAAGACAATAAATTGAGACTATGCTTGATATCTGTATACAAATATGATTGATTGAAACTTGTTATAAAAAATATAATTATACATATCTATCTATACGAATCTGTTATATGTATGTATTAACTTTAAGTTTATGTAACCATGAATGTGAATAATAAATACATGAAAAATTATTATAACCCAATTTTATTCGATTTTACCAGAAATACTCTAATTTTATCAAAATGTTTGAAAAGAATACAATTTTTGCAGTCATCTCTCACAGTAACAGTTTTAATTTACTCACTGTTTTTCCTTCAAATAAATTGTTTTTCAAGTTTATTAATAAAAATGTTGAACGATTAATATTTGTTTACGATTGTTTAAAAAGTTTAAAACAATTTAGTTTAAAAAGGAAAACAACATGAAAATATAATGGTTAGTGGGATTTTGAGATATATATTCGACTATTATTACAGCTTACGCGTTTAAGATATAATAATAAAACCCCCATCTGTCAGTTTCCTTATATATTTTCTTGCGCAAAAAAAATAAACTGTGATCGAATTGACTTTTTTCTCATCTACTGCATATACGTGAAGGTCATCTAGCAAAAATAAAAGACTCATTGTTGTGAAAGGCAGACACATACATTCGAATTTCTCCAAGACCTTCGCCAACTTCAGGATATATTACGTGACTGCAAGCACTTGATTTGCTTTTATTGCCCGATGGTCAATTTTTGAATAACAATTTAAAAAAATAAATTTTAAGAATAATTTTAGTGAATTTTATATGAATTAGAACAGATACTTATAATAAAAAGTTTGATGATCTGCGTTAAAATAACATTTAGTTTAAAATTTGAGGTACAATATTTTAGTGAGATAAGTAAATGCATCATTCCTCTTTGTAGAGATTATTTTTAGGGTGTTGTGTAGTGAAATTGACTATTCGTTATTTATGATATGCAATGCAATTTTATTTTTCAATACAATTTTAATACATTTAACTAGTATGAGAGAAAACAAATTTTCCCAATATTTCCATATCTTTCGTACGATTATTGGCAACCTTGATGCAAGGTAAAATAATAATTATGGAAAGTAAAGCTATAATATTTCATGACATTGACTCGTTTGCCAAAGATACTTTTTATACGTTGTGCGTGAATAATCTGAAAGTTATTACAATTAGTGGTAGTATTTGAGAGGTGAGGCGGCATAAGTGTTGTAGATTGGGACATTTTGGGCTACATAAGTCAAAGGTTGAGCAGCGTAGGTATTGTACACAGCTGGAGCAGAGTAAGACGTGACCGGAGCGGCGGCAGCTCGGTAAGCATAAGCTGGTGCTGCAGCGTAGGTAGCTGCTGGGGCGACAGCGGCGACGGTTTTGACAACTGGGGCAGCGACAGCGAGGGGCTCCTTGCGGACGACGGCGTTGAATCCGTTGACGTCGTCGGCCGTGTAGTCGACGATGCGTTTGGTGCCATCGGCGTCGATGAGGGAATAGCTGCCGGTGACCTTATCGCCGTCGCGGGTCTCGTGCTGGCTCTTGTGGTCGCCGCTCAAAGAATCGGAAACTCCATAATTGAACGAGTATTGGGGGTGATGGTCGTAATCTTCAACGGTTTGGGTGACTACGGTCCTTGCCACTGGTACCACGGGCACAAAGCCGGCACTGGCGTAGGCCACGAAGGAAGCGAAAAGGATGAACTAAAATAATAAAAATAATAAAAAATTAGTAAATTATGTAAAATATAAAAATTGACAATCAAACAAAAATATAATTTACTTTAAAAGCCATTTTTGAAAATGTTCTTGTAGTCACTGATCGACTTGAACTGATGCAGAATCCTAGAGCAGTCGAGTTTATATACGAAAATTGATCCTATTCAGCTACACCTGGGCTCGCACCTCCCTCCTCTGAGCAAGGTAATAAATTTGGAAATCAAACATTTACGAATCGATTAGTGGTGTAAAGTGACTGGCTATTCTTTTCAGAGATTTCGGGCTGCTAAATTCCTCATATCATACACAACATATGTCGTACGCCACTTGACCCCCAAACTAGATCCTGTCTCTTTCCTGTTCGAATAAGCCGATTGAATGAAATACTTCTAGTTCAGGGTTTCGGCGCAAGAACGGATCTCGACCTTCTTGACAGATTCGTTGCAACATTATTTGTAGAAATGGTATTTTATATTTGAGGAGTGAACTTTTAAAAACAATCAACTTGATAATTGCGTTACCAGGTTTGACTTTTTTGTGATATAATTGAAATTTTTTTCGTGTAATATTTTTTTAAATTTATGAAAATAATTTTATTTATAATAGTTGCATTAACTAAGGGCATGATATTTGTCTATGTTTAATATTCACCAAAATTTGATTAAAATCAATTAGTAAATCAAAATATCACATTACCGATTTATAGTGATATTTAATATCATTTTTACTCTCTACTCTTTGTAAAATTTCAACATTTAAACTCATTCTCAAGATATAACTTACTTGGTAACAGAACTTTTATTGTTATTCAGCACAAAATTGGCTCTCGGCTGTTATTCTAAACTTTTTAATAATAATCACTTAATTTTTAAACGAAAACTATTGAAAGTTATTTATATCACTATCAAACTCAATGTGAAATTTCAATGATATATTTACACTTTTCTTTTTTTTTATTTTTTGCTTAAAAAATGAAATATACATCTTCGACAGTAATACAGAAGCAACCTATTGTTACGCAACTGTCAAAAAAAGAAAATAGTTCGATAACCACTCATGTTACACAGTACACACAATACTCTGTCAAAAACTTGCTACCTGTGCACAAACTAAACTTATAAATTTTATATTTATTTTCATTAAATATTTTATTTTTTTAATTTAAAAGTACTTTTGCACTTCTACAAAGACTGATATACACAACAGCTTCAATATAATTTGAGGGAAAATTGGAAGTGTAAATTAGAAAAGATCACCTCATTATTTTATTTACAAATTTTATTATACATTTTTTATCATGTACCAGTACAGTTAACGTTTTTATTTTGGATGATGATTACATTGTTCGGAACAAATACATTTAAGTATTCATTCAATGAGAATTAAGTGTTACATGAATTAAATCTTATTAAAAACCAAAATTAAAGATTATTTACAGTTTTAATGAAATATAAATAATTATCACATTAATATTTGAAATACATAGTTATTTTATGCAAAAAGTGTTTGTTGAGTATCAAGTAATAATAATATAAAAATAAGATTATAAAGAATAGTCGGACGAGCTTATTGTTTCTAATATTTGACGTAAAGATTAAATTACAGAAATTCAGTTATCTATAACCAAAGGACTATTTCCAAAAGTTTGTACAGGCGTAAAACGATGTTTATTGCTAATATGATTCGCAGATTTTTTTAAAAAAGATCCAAATTTAACAAAAGGATTTTTAAGAAAATCAATTACTGGTCTGCCAGAGATCGAAGTGTTATAACGATACACAGTTTTTTGAGGCCAGGGGAAAGTATTTCGATTAAAAGTTGGTACAGATGCAACCAAATTAACATTGTAAGTTGGGGGTTTTTGAACTGGATAAGATTCATATGAGACGGATTTTGGATAAACTGGTAAGCTGTAGGTTCTATGAATAGGCGGAGTTATAGCGGGGCGAACGATTACACCTAATGGAACGGATGTTCTGAAAGGAACTTCGCGAGATGGAACAGGAGCTTGATAAAAGATTTGACTGTTTTTTACCGGTGCTTCATAAGTAGCATGATCAGCTAAACCTGCTTCATTGTAGACACCTTGATTTGTTGCGATCAGTTGCTCAAAAGACACTTCACGAGATGGCACAGGGGCTTCATAAAAGATTTCACTGTTTTTTACCGGTGCTTTATAACTATTATCGACCAAAACTGCTTCACTGTAGGCAACTTGATTAGATGCAATCGGTTTTTCACAAGGCACTACGCGAGATGGAACAGCGGCTTCTATCTTACTAACTGCATTTGAATAAACATGTGCAGGCGGTGTAACGGGGATTTGAAGTGGTTCTTGATCATTGAGCGAGTCTTCTTCCAACGATTCGTTGCAGTCACATTCTGCGTCGCCTTCCAAATGGATTTCAGGAGGATGGAGTGGATTCGACTGTTTTTCAATGGTCTGAGGTGCTGTTTCCAATGGTTGAGCAATAGATAAAGCTACTAAAGCAGCAAAAGTGAGAAGCTAAACAATAAACATATTGGAAATGAAAAAATAAATATTAATTCTATAAAAAATTACACGGCTAACAATGTTTGCTTACTGTGAGCTTCATGTTTTCTAGACACGGTTACTTGACTGATGCTTAAACGAGACTAATCATTCTAAGATGGCCTAAGCTGAATTTATACAAATTCGAGAAAGAGCAAATTCGGTAATATAGTCTCATCTCCCTCTTAACCGTCTTCTTACAAACTATTTCAAAGTAAAGTTTTGCTCGCAACATTCAAGCAGGTTTTTAAATCAATTCAAGAGAAGGTATGCGTGCCGGCGAGTTAATAGGCAAATTTGAATTAATATACACTGTAATACTTTTGAATATAAGGTGCGTAATTTAATTTTTTCCGAGTACTTATAGCATTCTATTGATGAGCTTAGAATAGTTCATTTCGCGAATGACGAATCATAAAAAGTTTTGAACGGAAAAAGTGGTTCGGTTTTAAAAATTTATCTTATTTGCACAATTTATTATAATTTATAATTACAATTTTAATAATAATTTAATAATAAAATTATGAAATATTCTATTAACAATTAATATTTAATCCTTAGTGGACATTATAATTACAGAAATATAAATAAACTTTGTTTATTGTAAAATCCATTTTGAAAAATAGTTATATAACTTCATTTTTATGAAACACGAACTGAGTATATTAGATAAATTAAAGTGTAAACAATTAATTTATTGATATGAATTATTTTCATAAATTTGCATTATAATTTACTCGATTATATTCAAACATTTTCGATTTTCATGCTAAAGAATGAAATTGAAGTTAAGGCAAGTTATGAAAAAAAATTATTTTTAAAATTTCCAACGCTTATTTTAATAAAATCGTTCTCACAATTCATTATTAACCGATGAAAAAATGTATATTCTAGTCATAGAAGTTTGATGATTGCGGTTAATCCCATGTGAAATTCTTACAGTATGAACTTTGATACAAGTACTGTATGTACGGTTTAACTAAATGTAAAAGTACTGAAAATTTCTCTTGGCTACATGATTCATTCAGCAAATAAAAATTGGTTGCGTAAGAAGATGATGTATCTTTTAAAGCTTCCGAACATCAAATGTGGAAGCATTAACCCGTAGTATTTCTTAAAGTCAATAAAAACAATGCTGATTATACCGGTACTGAATACTTTAACAAGAACTGAAGCTAAAAAATATTAGAATATTATTTGCAATAAAAATTGTTATAATTTTTTTAGTTTTATTTTGATCTTTAATTTTTTATAAAATTAAAATTAATATTTATTTTACAATGAAATAATATAATGTATAACATTTGAAAAATCAAAAATTCCGATTCAATCTATGACAAGTAGTTTACGCAATACCTTCAACATGCTTTTAAATTCTAAAAAATACAAAAAAATCAAATAAAAATATTGATTTTGTGTTGCGAATTAAATGTTGACAAATTCACTCGACTAATTTGCTTTTTTTTTAATTTAAAACAATAAGCTTCTTTCAAATATTCGAATAATGATATGAACTTTGCTTAATTTAGGAGTTGTAATTATTTCATAAAGCTTTTCAAGGTATAGAGCAAGAATGACAACATTTTAATTTAGTATATAATAGTAAAAAATTATTTATTTAAAAAAAGTTTATATACAGTAATTCAACTAATGTAAAATGTAGTAACAATCAGTGTAAAAGTTTCATGTTACTATAATACTTTTTATAAAACGTATAAAAGTTATCATTTGCTATCGAGCACATATTCAATTTTGCTAATGATTAAACAATCAAAGTTTAAACATAAATTTGGGAGTAGTGAGGTTGAGCAAAGTAAGTAGCATGAGCTACAGGAGCAGCTTGGTATGCGTAAGCTGGTGCAGCACCATAGGTAGCAGCGGGGACGGCGGCGGTAGCGACGGTCTTGACAACTGGGGTAGCTACGGCGACAGCTGGTTCTCTGCGGACGACGGCGTTGAATCCGTTGACATCATCGGCTACATAGTCGACGGTACGTTTGGTGCCATCGGCATCGATGAGGGAATAGCTGCCGGTGACCTTATCGCCGTCGCGGGTCTCGTGCTGGCTCTTGTGGTCGCCGCTCAAAGAATCGGAAACTCCATAATTGAACGAGTATTGGGGGTGATGGTCGTAATCTTCGACAGTTTTAGAGACGACTGCACTTGCCAAAGGGGCGGCGTAGGCAACCGGTGCAGTTTGATAGCTCACGTGTGTCAAAGGTACAAGACCGGCATTGGCGACAGCCACAAAGGCAGCAAGAGCAATGAGCTGAAAATTATTAATAATTATTAATTTAAAAATTTATTATTTATAATTAATTAAAAAGTATCGAATGTGATCGGCTTACTTTGAATGCCATTTTTTATTCGAAGTTATTGTTAACTGTAGAACTAGTCGACTGAGACTGATACTGAAACAGAATCCTGTGGGGTCTTTTATACTTGGTCAAAAAATCATATATGTTTAAATAGTTAGTCCACCACTACGAGATATATAATATCCAAGGCAAGTAAATGTAATTATTGTCTTGCGTGAAAGACCTCCTACCAACTAAAAAGCAGCGAAAAAAGCTGACAACGCTGTACGACTACACGAGCCGATTAGTTCCTCAAGGCACTTGAGATATTCCTGCGTAACGCATGACGAAGTATTTCACTCTTTTTTCTTCTCTCTCTCACTATGTTACGTTTCCTCGGAAGATCAACAAGATATCTCCCACAGGATCCACGCGCGAATATTATGCTTTTCTATAAACACAATAAAGTAAAGATTACGCAATCTTACTTAGCTCCTCATGTATTTCTACTCTTAAAAATTTTGCACGGAACTATATCGATCAGGATTACTCAACTCTTATAATGTTAATCGCTCTCCAGCTACAGCCAATAAAAATCTTGTATAGGTGTGTATAGATCAAAGAGTTCGACCTCCCATGGTCCTAGTGACCTTGATACTAGAGTCGTAATATTTTTGGTCTTACGATTCATGATTGATTCTTATTTGCATTACATGACGTGCAGGCTAATTATATATACAACCAATTACTAATAATAGACTAGCTCGTGAACTTGACATTCGATTTCGATCATATTATCTAAGATGTTATACAGATAGTATTAAAGAGGAATAATTTTAATAATTTTACACTGCAGTAAAGAAAAGTAAGAAAAAAAGTAAATTTTAATCTCTTTGATAATGCATGGAACTTTCGTACACCTTTAACATTTTATTAATTTTCCGATTATTTTTTCACGGTTGTTCATCCCTTGAAATCGGTGAATTTTATTTAAAAAGTTATCTACTCTGCAATCAAAAAGTTTGATGCATCATTACATTATATGATTCAAATAAAATTAGAAAAAAACTCAATATTTGCTCTACATCAGAACACGTATTTATTCCAGCATCTGAAAAGTAAGAAGCATGATGTTTGTTATTTTTATAATATTTGCAAATGAATTTCGTCACTCAGGCCATCATCATCAAGACAGTAATCGGCATGAAAGTATACATTTATTCAGACTCCAACTAATTATATGACATGTGGTATTATGCGTCGTGGAAGAGAAAAAGTCAAAACGCACACGCACGAGGGAATGACCCATCGTATAAAGTCAATTACCGATTTCCGTGTCACACGAAGGCAAGTGGAAAAGGCGAAAAAAAGAAATACGAGCACAATTTCGGCTGCTGCTGCTGCTGCTGTCCAGCTGCATGTGTGTGTGTGTGTGTGTAAGTGTAAGTGTCAGTACGGTTCTTTTGCAAAAAAAATATATTACATAATTCGATTCACTCGGCCATTATTATTGTGCGCGAGAAGGTAAAAGTGAGCCAGCAAAAACAGCGAGACGCGTTGATGCCGGTGCACGTGAATTTTCAAGATTATGTAGGGCGCGTATTTTGGGCATTATTACGACACAGTAGCAGCTTATAATACAGGTGTATATGTTTTCAAGGGGGATGATTGGCTGGTCTGAATCGCCAGAAGAGAGGGGCTTTCTCTCTCTCTCTGTCTCGCTTTATAAAGTGCATTGCAAATACGTGTGCGTGCATGTCATTTGACAGAGGCGAACGGCGGCCCTGGGCGCAACGAATGCAACCGCGAATGCAACGATTTTTGGGTATATAAGACTGCTTTACTTGCTATTTTGGCATTCACTTTCATTGCGGCCTTCGCTAAACTTGAAAGGCTCACCTTAAGAGTATAAACCTACATAACTCCGAGAACACAATGGTTTACAAGGTATGTTTCGCCGAGATCAATATCTTCCGGGGCATAAAAATTCTTATCTATTTTGACCATACATGATTTTGATTTGGGACGATTGCGCGATTTTTACTGCGCAAGACATCCCGGCTGACTCATACATCGATCGATCTACACATTCATCACGTTGACGCGAAATGTAGCGACGATTTCACATTAACAATTTGTACTTGGTTTTCAGCTCGTTCTTGTGGCGGCTCTCGTGGCTTGTGCAAGTGCAGGAATAGTGCCGGCCAGCTACGCCGAAGAACAACCGATCGCTCACGCCGCGCCCCTGGCCTACGCAGCTGCGCCCGTCGCCTACACCAGACAGGTGGAGGCCGAGCCCTACGACCCGAACCCGCAGTACAACTACGGCTACGACGTGCAGGACCCCAACACCGGCGACTACAAGAGCCAACAGGAGAGCCGCAGCGGCGATCAGGTCCGCGGCAGCTACTCCCTCCTCGAGGCCGACGGCACCAGACGCATCGTCGAGTACACCGCCGACGACCACAACGGATTCAACGCCGTCGTCCGCAAGGAGGGCACACCCCACATCGCCCACGCCGCGCCGATCGCCACCCACACCAGCTACGAAGCCGCCATCCCAGCCGCCCACGCCGTCTCTTACGAAAGCCAAGAGCAGCACGCCATTGCTTACCAGCAACAATCTCACGGCTACGAAGCTCAAGTTCACGCGTCGCACGAGTACCAGCACTAAGTCAATGCTAATGCATACCGTATGCGTTTTCGTCGTATATACCTATGCATTAGGCGAAGTGAGACTTTTTTGTCGGAGATGTGACAGATCATTTGGAAAAGTGTTTGTTTGAAAACTTGTTTGAATCTTTTGCCTTTTTGGACCTAATTTTTCATCGCTGCACTGCTTAATATGCGTACCTGCACAGTTGTTTTTGCTATCTTTGTACATTAAGTTAGATCTGAATAAGCTTGTAAATAATTTCAATAAAATTATCATTCTATTTTTGCGAAATACCATTTATTTTTCAATTAATTTTTCCTTTCTTAACAAGAAAAACGAAATTTAATGCAATTTCAAAGCAATCCTCGATCAGGGAAAAGAAAAACAAAAAATAATACAAATTAATCATAAAAAGTAATTCGATTCATATCTTTAATTCATACTTTCTTTGGGTGAATTTTTATGCAATTTAATATGTCCCTATCTCGAATCGGCGAAAGATCATAAAAGTAAGTCTATAGTTAACCATTACGTAGCAGAATATAGAAAAATACATAAAATTAGTTTATCAGAATCGGCAACTTCTTTGAATCTATTTTTGAATCAATTTTACATCGTCATCGCAAGACTTCACAGTAGTATTTAAAACGGCAATTTCAAAATTCGATATTTTTATGGATCATTTCAAGTTTGACAACCTTTGAAATTACTAAATTTTGGGTAAACACTATACTACAACGTTCGTAATTTCTGAAGTTCCTGAGAAAAATTCCTGAGTTTCCTCAAATAAATGAATGAATATTACTCTAAACTCGAATCATTATAATTACAAAAAATGTAGGTATTTATGACGATTGAATAGTATGAAGGACACGTGTAGATCAAAACTGCAAGTTATTACGGAATGAATTGGCAATTGCTACTACATTTTTCAACACTGTAACAAGACCTCTTACTCAAAAATTGTATGAGTCTAATTTTAACGCGTTTTAAATGAATAAACTAAGATCAAGGTTAAAATCTTACTGCAAGTTGTAAATACAGAAAAAACTGCAATATTCAGCAGCTTGACTCAATTATTAAATATAATAACTGCTTGTTTATCGTAACGAAAATAACAATGTATCTTCTACATCGTTATAAATTAAAAGCATCAAATATTTTCTTTAAACTGTTTAATATCATTCATTCAATAATTTTTTTTTAATGAACCTAATTCTACTGTATAAAACAGTCCCACTCTCGTACTCCTTCAAAGACTTGAAACGCTATTACGACAATGTTTATTTGGTCCGAATTCGCATTACCCAGCTGGAAAAAAGTAAAGAAAGAAAGAGTATAACAGAGGTGATGGTTGAACACGCCCAGTGAAAGTATCGTACAAAGTCATCACGCGCTCTCGAATCATCGCAGTCGTTTCGTGTATACACAAATTACGTTTTGCAATACTTTTTTTACACGGATAATCGACACAAGCTTCAGATTATAATTTAATTGAATTGAATAGCGGTTGGAATAAACATATTTTTAACTTACAATCAGTATGATTAACAGTTCTAAAAGCTTCTTTACTTTTTAAAATATCGACTCTTACCAATTAGGCTAATTTTTATCAAATTGGAAGAAATTATTTTTTGACTAATTCTCTGTAATTTAATTCATGATAACCCTCTCATTACAAAGTATTCAACGAGTAAGCTTTAAGTTTTAAGTTGCTCATTAGCATTCGCTAAATAACTTTATTTTTCTTATTATAAATAATGATATTTTTATTAATTTTAATGCAACGCCTTCTGTTTTTAAAATTTCACTTGTAGTTATCTGAAAATTAAACAGTATTAATTTATTTTATTTGTACTAGATTAAGGATTCACTTTTACTCATTTTTGAAATATTTACAAACGCAAATATTTACAAACAAAAATTGGTAGTTATGTTAATTATAATTCAAACAATATAGCTGTAATATAGCCAAATTATCATTTTACTATTTTAATGGGAAGATCCTTTTTAGAGGAATATTGAGTAGAAATTTTAGAAAACGTTATTGAAAATTGTTGTTTTTACACAAGCTCTGATTTCTCCAGCTGGTCGATGCAGTAGCGATCTAGAACAGAATGGATTTCTGCGTTACCGATTAGTGTTCAGATCCAAATCGGTACGGCAAAATCGGTAAATAAGCGATAACCGATTTTGTGAATTATCAGGTTTCGATAATTTGAATAATTAATCAACAATGTTTTTGAAAATTATTATAAAATAAATAACGATACAAAAAAAAAATTTGTATGAAATTGACGTAAGTTATGTTCAATACAGCTCAATGCATTACTATTTATAATGAAAGTTGAAAAAAGTATTAAAATAAAAAAAAACTATCTTTAATGGTATGAAATAAAAAAGTTAGAAATCTATTCCATTGTAAAATTTTAATTTACAAAAAATGCATTCTTCATTTTCGATCGATGTATAGGTGAACACTTTTATTACATACTTGCCATTCGGCCATTGTCCCGATTCGTCTATGGTTTAGCAATTGAAACAATGAATATCTTTTAATATGGAGTTGCAACAGTTATAATTGAACAATTTCGTTGTTTCAAGCACTGAAAATATTTTAATGAACAGTCCTTCGTGCTTTGAAAAATGTTGCATTGAAAAGTGAATAATGTATAACTATAGCACTACATTTATGACATCCTACATCAATTATATTTGCAATGTTTCATCTCCATCGACAATCAATTTTCGTTTTTCAAAAATCTGTTGGGAAATCAAAGGTAGAATTTATAGTAAACCTAGTAGAGTACACATCGACATGACAATGACTTTCAACCGATCATTTTAATCAAATTAAATGCTGTTGCAACTGTAATAAATGGTGAATAAACTTATAATTTTGATTCATTAGCAGAAATTGATATGAGATAAAAAAGAGTTCCCGTGCCATCGATGATTGTTAAAAAAGCATTTTCATGTAAAGCTTGAAGCCCAGTGATCTGCACAACAATAGTCTAATACATCTATCCGTCAAAAACTAGTATTCTGATCTGATTCTGATACTCAGTAATTCATTGAAACTGAAAATCTCTAAAAGGATTTAATGAATTAAAAAAAAAGGCTGAAGTGTCCTTGAATATCCTTGGACGCACCTACACATTGAATCAAGAGGAACAACGAGCTACAGCGTAGGATTTATCGTGCATTTCGAGTATCGACGTGTATGCCGGCTAGGCCAGCATAAATCCGAGCTGGCCAAGCGCACCGAACAGTTTATGGTTCACGGTCCATTTACTCGCAAGGTGGCATACTGCACACGTACGGCGCCCAGACACACAGAGAGCTGCCTCATTTGTATGTATCTTATATACTTTCTCCGGAGAAAGTGTTTTTATTCGCAAGGTAACAGCCTATACAAGACACATCGGAGCTGCAGCGGCCGAATATATACTGTTACAAGTGCGTCGACCGCGCCTTTATAATAACCAGTTGACGGCCCATGTGGCAAAAAGTTTAAGCATTCGGATATGTTGGCTATTGCACTCGGATCAAATTGGTTCATTTTGTTTGTTCTTTTCGGAGAAAAGAATTCAAAGTTCGGAAATGAAAGCTCGCGCGCGCGCGAGACTGTAAATATTAAATGGCTCGGATAAAAACGAAATTATGAGAATTCATTGACTCGATCGACGTAATAGTTCGTACGTATGAATTGCGTTCATTCGCGACTCGGACGCGTATATATAGCTGCAGCCGCGAGAAAAATGCTTAGAATCGCAAAGCAGAACATTAAACGACTTGGCTCGCGCGCTCGGGAGAGATCGTGAACTGAAACTCGTTTGTTTTTGTTGACAATTGCACAAGACTATTATCGAATGCATAGACAAAAGTGCGAATATAAAAAATAATACATGATGCAAGCCTGACGCAACGGCAGCTGGATCATATTTGCATAAAAAATTAAACTCTTCATCGATCTGTATATTTTCTTATAGTTTTGCGAACGAAATCAATTCGTACATTGCACATTAACCCAGAGAATAAAAATGTAAGTTTGAAAATCACGAGCTGGCACGAATGAGCGAATATGTGCACGTGATGTTCCAAAGAAAGTAAAAACAACAATAGTTAATTTGCCTGCTCAACAGCTGTTCGTGTTCCATATAAATTCGTGTGTATAACATTTATAGATATACATGGGATTCGAATAGTTTCTATTATGCATCCATTCGCGAGATACACTGACTCAACTTCGCGCTACAGCGAGTCGAACGCGAAAAAAAAGGCGAGCGTTTGTGCGTGCGCCATCTTCCGTGCGCGTTAATTTTACGTTTCGAAAGTTCGAACACTTAATTATTTCTACTCATCTCGAGCTGGAATAACATATCGAAATACTGGTGCGGCACGCTAACATCTTTCTAATTGTAATACTGTGATCAGCGCGATGAAAGAAAGAGAGAGAATAAAACCTCATGCACTCGTCGATTCTGCGTGCGCGTTCGATCGATGACACAAATAAAAAGCGATGCGAAAAAAGCGAGAGCAGCGTAAAACACCGTGACTTTCTTATTTCGATCGCTATTTGAATAATATTTTTCAATGCTGGTCAGGGCATCGAAGCTAATTGTTGTTTCAAATTCTTGGTACGCTGGAAAAATCGCTCTTTAACGGCGTTTACCGATATCATTTTAGAGCTATAATTGACTATATTTATCGTGACGATGATCACCTTGACCGTTGAAAAATGTGCACGTGGGAAATTCATCAACGCGCGGTCTATACCCGCGTGGAATATCTAATTCAGATTTCCGCGGTAAGCAACAAATCGGACAATTTGGAAAAACTCGCAGTAGAGAGCAAACATATATTATAATATATATATATCGCGGAGCACTTTTACTTTCTACAAGGCACGCACACGAATATAAACATATATATAATGTTTCTGTGCGAACACAAACGCGAGTGTGCAGTCTGTATATTTTGCGCAGAAAAACATCCTTTCCTTGTTATACGCCCTG